TAAAATGAAATATGTTATTAGATATTATTACATATATATTAGTAAATATAATTAAATACAATTATTACCATTTGTATAAACTGGTTAAAAAAGCATTGATTTATTAACAATAAGTGTAATTATGTTTGAATATTTTATTATTAGTTTAAATTACTTATCATTTTAATTGAGTAATTACTCAATTATGGTAATTCCATTAATGACCCGTGTAACTCTATTTTAATTGAGTAATTACCATATGGAGTGAAGAATTACCATTTTTGTTGGAACACCAATTGGGCGGGAAAACCAAATTGAGAATCCATGGCTTTTTAAATAAAGTATGGATAAAATAAAATTTTGAAATGGTAAATAAAACTAAAAAAGTGTAATAAATTAAAATGTTTAAATGATAAGTAACAACAAAAAATACCAAAAACGTAATTGATATTTATAAATTAAGATTAAAAAAACACATAAATGGTAAGTAATACAAAAAAGGAGTGTAATAAAATAAAATGTTGAAATGGTAAGTAACATAAAAAAACGAACGTAATTAATATATATTTACAAATTAAGAGGCAATGTGTGTATAAAAACTTAATTAAAGGTATATTAAATTTATGATACAGCGTTATAAAAAATTAATTAACACAGTACAATGTTTCATTTTAATTTCGTGCGTATTTTAAAAAATTGATTTTAAATTGAATAACTACCTTTTACACGATTTTGGTAAGAATGAATAATTAATACGTTGTAAGTAACTATGAAATAAATAAAATCATTTTCTTATTTTATTACGTGTGTAATAAACTAAAATTTTGAAATGGTAAGTAAAACCAAAAAGGTGTGTAATAAATTAAAATGTTTTAATAGTAAATAACACAAAAAACGTAATGAATATTTATAAATTAAGATGTAACATGTGTATAAAAACGGCAACTATATGTTGAAAAAAATTAGCCGCTATAAGGAATAGAATAAGAAAAACAAATTCCTTATACACATGTAATTAAAAAAATCTAAAAAAGAAATTAGAATAAGGAAAAAACTTTTCATAGTATAAATAGGATCAATTGCAAACACTTTTGCAACTGTATGTTGCAGTTTCAAGAGTAACGAATTGTACTGGCTTGAAGATTCCGATATGCAACGAAGATAATGTTCACACAAATTGTACGAATAATGTAATTTACAAAGAACTCTTTCGAAATTAGTAAAGCAAAAAACTTGTGTACCTTAAAATAACAAAATCTTTATATTCTATTAGATATCATTTTCTATCATTAGAAAATAATCTTAATTTAGTAACGTAAATATAACCCGTGCAGCGCACGAGTGTGATACTAGTTAAATACAAAAAGTAGATAACTACTAATTGAGTTTTTGAATAGACGAGATGATAAGGGGAAAAAAGTTACTAGTAGTAAAGAAAGGATATACTCTGTATTTATTTTTATTTCAAAATTAGATAGGGATAAATCGAGTGACAGTGAAAAAAATTTCACCTGTATCTTAATTTTGATTACAATTTTATTTTTTATCTTCTCGATAACTTTGGTTTATTTATGTATTTTCATTGAGTAATTGATAAAATAAAGTATTCTTATCACCTCTTATTTTGTATAACTTTTTATGTAGTTTTCTAATAAATAATTTTTATTTATTGATGAACCAATTTGTAAATAAAATAATTTCATAAATCATTAGATTTTACCATGTAATTCCCATTTTATAATCAAAATAGGGGCGAGGGAAGTAATATTTTTGCTCACCCCTAAACAACATTCCCTTGTGCCCAGTCTAAGGAGGGTTAGATGTACGCTGCCTAATTTGAAGGTTTAAATAGAGAACACATATTTCCATTTCCATATGGGGCCAAAGATTCACAATTTTTTGGGTAAATTTCATCCATGGTATAACTTTTATCATTATTTCACTTCGGTATATAAGCTTTAATTCCTATCACAAAAGTCACAAACTTTCAATATTCTTTCACCAGTGGTCCAATAGGCGGTTTCTAAGTCATCAGCAGGTCATTTGGGGTCAAATTATAATTTTATAAATTTAAATTTTATGATTTTGACCTCTTTTCTTTTTTGGGAGAAAGACCAAACTAAGAGTAAAAGTTATGTAATATTCTCAAATAGGAGCTAAAACTTAAACTCCTCTAAATAGAAGTAATTAATTAATTTTTGTCCTCAATTCTCTCTTCTCAAGCTCTCTTCTCCTTTCCATTGTTTTTTTCTTTTCTTGCATGCGTGTGTATTTGCACACTTAAGGGGGGCTGGGCATTAGGCATTGAGTTATGGGTAGGAAATATATTAGCATTGAGTTATGGGTAGGAAATAGAATAGATTAGGAAACTGATTATTTTTTATTATTATATTATAAAATATTTATATTTATTTATTGAATTATAACATCTATTTTGCTCATAACTTTTTACACCAAAGTTTAAACTTAACAAACTTTATGCTATTAGTCACCTTTTTACGAGATCAACCCAAATACCTATTTTTTGAATTAAAAGGTTGGCTTTACAAATAGTTTATGTTTTCGAGTCAGAAAATAAAATAGGACATTATATTTATTTTTTTTATCAAAATAACATCTAACTACTAAGCCGGCTAATTTTTTTTACCCAAAGTTAAGATATTGTCAATAAATGATTCTTTTAACTACATCGTCAAGGGACGACAACAAAATCACACTCAAAGCTCAGTACCATAAACAAATATGGTTATTTCTACCTTGCTCTTGAATATTTATATGTCCATCTTAATTCACAACTCAAATATTCTGATTTGATGATTTGACATTCTTAGGAATAGAAAAAAACTTGATAAACATAACTTTTAAGTGTTGCCTCAAACCCATAAAATGTCAAACAAGACCACATTTAATGCCAGAATTCTTAATCAATAAATCTATGAGACTTGATTAGTACCTTGTAGAAATATGTCAAAATTCTTAAGCAATAAATAGAAACTCAGTAAATTACCACAGAAAATGTCTATACAGTGTCAAGCAAGACTACATTTAACGCCACACATAGCCGCATAATGACAATCATGTCATTGTATAAAATCATACATGCAAATGCATAATGCTAAACTAAGAGATAATGCTAAATATGACAATATATAGTGGCACATTTGGCGATGTATAATGACAGATATGCCAATGTATAATTTTACATATAACACATATGTTAATGCATAATCTCAAAAAAGTTAAACATCAAGAAACTCTATTTGCCAACACAATAATCATTTAGTTTCAATATTTGTTTTACAAAATAATTTTCTAAGAAGTAAAATTAGATTTAAAACCAAATGTCACAACCTATGTGAAATTGAATATAAAATTGATTAAAAGTTTCAAACTCAAGGATAAAAGAATTAGTACCAATTTTACAAAATAATTCCCGAAAACGTAAATTTTTAGATTTAGAATTGAATTTAACTACTTATGTCAAATTAAATATCAAATTGAATTCAAACTTACCTAAGGGGACGGAGGCATCCGAGTGATGAAAAATAGAAATGATGGAGAGGGATGGAAGAAGATTGTGTGTATGAGAGAAAAGAAGATGGTGGAGAGTGCGGTGGAATCATTACCGCATAGAGAAGATGGTAGCAGCGGAGAGGGGATTGAGATTATGCTAGATTTTTTACCTTATGACCATAGATCTCGAATATTTGAGATTATAACTTCATTATAATTTATTTGTTAAGAAAACAAACACAAATCTGCTCTGAATCATATGCCCAAACAATTCACATAACTTCATAATTTCTTGAAGATTGAGAAACCTTACCTTATTATCGGAGTGACAAGTGAATGGATCGAAAAAGACGAGGAGTGAAGCCCTAGATCAATCGGAAAAGATGAACCGGTGGGAGAAGATGAAGAACCTAAAGAGAAAAGATCGAGGACTTTGCAAATCTATAGGTTTTACCTCAGATTTCTAATATGGATTTTTATTTATAGTCCAAGTCAACAATATGTCAAAATCAATGTTTTATAAGAATCCTCCATAATCTATAAATTTTTTAATACCATTAAATTTAGAAAGATTTTTTAAAATCTAAATCGAATACATCTAGATTTTAAATGAGTTTTTTAAAATCTCAATTGTTAACTTTTAAAATCCAAAAAGATCCATCAAAATCCTGATTGAATACACCCCCCCTAAGTTGACAACGTCAGCAACTAAGATTAAAATGAAGGAGATCGTAGAAGGATGAGATTGGGAAGGGCCGAGTGACTTTTTCAACCGAATAGGGCTAGGATGTGGTGTGGTTAGTGCGAAAGAGTATATCAAAACAAAATTTAATTAATTACTCCTATTTAGAGGAGTTTAAGTTTGAACTCATATTTTGAGAATATAATATACTCCGTATGTTTTAGTCCTATTTAGGAGGTTTTCTTTTTCTTTTTGTCTCTTGGTTCTCCACCCTTTTCTTCATATTCTTCAAGATCCCCCACCCTCCCCCTCCATTTTACAATATCAATTTACTGAATTTAGTAATGGCACATATCTAGCAATTTCCTATGGAGGGGGGAGGGTGGGAGGTCTTAAAGAAGTTAGAGAAAAGGGTGGAGAACCAAGAAAAAAAAGAAAAAGGGCCAAAATCATAAAATTTAAATTTATAAAATTATAATTTGACCCCAAATGACCTGAAAGTGACTTAAAAACCGTCTATTGGACCACCAGTGAAAGAATGTTGAAAGTTCGTGTACTTTTGTGATAGAAATTAAAGTTTATATATCGAAGTGAAATAATTATAAAAGTTCATATACCATAGGTGAAATTTACCTTCTATTTTTTAGTCAATGCAACTTTCGACGCTCATCATGAGTCATCTGGAAACACTCGCTCTATGTTTTAAACATAAGGGTGAGACTGCGTACATCCGAGCCCCCCCCCCCCTCCTTACCTTGCAATAGGCGGGAGCCATTGAAGCACTAAGGTAATGTTGTAAAATATAGAACACATGACCCTTGATCACCGTTGAAAATTGCATTAATTAGTTGCTACTTCACTATTAAAAGAAGCGTCCAGAATTTAAAGAGCAATTTTGTTTTGTTTCATCATATCCCATAGCCAAAAATAATGAATCATTGACTCCATAGAGTAATAATATGAGAAATGATGGATGCATTTTGTTGTTAACTGTACTCTCGAAGTAGCTCTCCCCGAGCATTATTCGTGCCTCTTGAATATTCAATGCCATTCATAAACATCCAAAACATCATACTGTAATTGCCCTTGAGTCCCGGTGTTAAACTAAAAAACCTTCTCATGCACTCGAATCCTTTTACCATTTTACCATGAAGCTGGTAATGCGAAGCTAGTACAAACCAAACTTCTGCAACCTGATGCCTTTTTTCTCTTGTCCAAGCTTCTGCCATTGCTTCTGCTTCTGTAAAGAGGGAATTCTTGCAATATCCCTCCATGATGAGCTTAAGATTGTTCAAATAATTGGGACCGCGCCAATTGCCACATGCTTCCCACTCTGTCACCATCTTCATGGCCTCATTTAACTCAACTAGTGGCTTGGTAATACTTTTGCAATCCAAATTTATTAAGGCTTGAGTCGATTTCTCGTGTTGCACCGCAGCAGGTTTAACTAATCCACATTCTTCTTCAAGGTATTCGAAAAACAACATTGCAACAGTTGGGTGAACTTCAAAAGCATGGTGAGTTCCCCGAAAGCAGTTAAATGCTTGAATCACATTACCTGCTTTAAGGTATTCTTTACAAAGTAAGCGTGAAAGAATAACGACACCAATCTTCCCTTTTCTAGACCATGCCTCGATATTATAAAACGCCTCTCGTAATTTACCAATTTTGATGTACTCCTCAATAATTGTATAAGGAATGCTAGTATCCTCCACTTTCCACCAATAACCAAGTACTTCCCACTCCCTGAAGAACTTTATAGCCTCATCTAACTCATCAAGCTTCACCAGTGTGCTTATCACATTCTCATAATCAGTTGCTAACAGATAATTGGGGCCTTTTCTTCTAGTATCCTTCTTTTGTAATATCACCCTCGCCTTTTCAAGAGCACCGGTGGCCTTATCTACAAGACATTCTCTTTCATAGAACTTGGCTACCACGGCATAAGTACACCAGTCCATGACAATGTGGGGTTGAGTTTCCATTTCTCTCATTATTCTCTCCATCCTATCCAGATCATGTTTTTTCCCAAATGAACTAATGCAGATTCTATAGCTATCATTATCAGGTGAAATGTTGCTCTTTTTCAGCTCGGCCAACACCTCAAGGACAACCTCAGGGTCTCGGGCACAAATGCGCATGATTTCATTGAACGGGCGAGGCGACAATGCAAAATCCAACTCTTTCATCTTCTGAAGATGCAATAAAGGACTTCTCCCTATGTCACCTCCATTTTCACGCACATAACAATAAAGGAGTTTTGCATATGTCTTGCCATTTCTAGCTGGTTTTGGCAAGTTCCTGACATAGCGCTCAGCAGCATAACATCCTCGAACATTACGAATCAAGTTGAACTGGACAACATGGTCACTAGATGAGAATCTGTAAATACTTTTCTTTCTCATCCATTCATAAACCTACAATAGGGACCAAAATATAAACACTATCAGAATGCATCTTGAACCTTTTTATTGAATCAGAAACTATGAATTTGATTAAAATTCATTCCATCAACTTTAATAACAGTACCAGAAAGTCAGTTTGACCATCACTTAACTGACAGCAGATTCAAACCTAAATATCAAAGGTAACATGCAATAGAACATTACTCTTGTTTCATTTGGCACAAAGTAAAGAGAATGATAATACATCAGTGCCCTGAATTCCCTGTACGGGAGACTCACTAAAAACCTCGGAAACAAAATAAACCAAGATACCGATTTAAAAAAATTGAAATCGTGGTCGTATTCTGAAGTAAAGACAACTCTAACTACTCTAATAAATTAAACACTACAGAAAGCTTTCTCTCTTGACAAAAACATGCAACAATATTAAAAAATTAAATATGTAATTCTGCTAACTTCAATTTTTGTAAATATAGGTACAAAATTAGTAAATATAATTTTTATGTATTTTTAAAATACGTAATGAACTATATAAAATAAGAAATGATGAGCAGAAATATGTCAGAAACGAGAGAATTACTTGACCATGTAAATAGCAAATAAATCCAGTTAAATGAAAAAATAAAGTATTTATTGAGATGGTAGTGACGAGGGACACGAGAACAGCAATGCTCATCAAGGATCTAACACGTGAGCACATGTTTGTCATTCAAATTTCAAAAGTTTCCATGATCCCTTTGAAAATATATCTCAAACTTTTACTTAATTAATAATTATATCCACGTATTTTTAAAAAATAATAAACCACTAATTTAATTTAATAAAATTCAAAACAAAAACTTTTTGGTTTGTTTTTGGTTAATTTTAATTTCGGGTTAATGGAAAACAATGTTTTTAAAATAATTTCTAAAATAACTAAGTTTAAAGTGTATATTAAGTGATGTATAAATATCCCATTGTATTGAAGAAAAAAGATCTTTAGGTTTGAAAGCAAAAATCTCCTTGATACTTTGTGTATTTTGAAAATAGAAATTGATTTGTTGCACCATTTCGTAATTTTATCCCCTGTTTTTGACAACTTTGAGTGTGTATTAGAAGTCTACTTTTAAACCTCAATTGTGATTATTTATAAATAAAATAGATATAAGCATTAAGAAAAAGTAAGTGTCATCTCTTATTTTCAAATTAGTTTACCACCTCTTTTTTCATCATCTTGATTCCGAAAGTCCATAAAATTACCAAAAAATATATAGATATATTCATTTTTTATGCTATAAATAGTAAGTAAATACTCTGGAGTATATAACAAAAAGTCAAAAAGTCAAGATCACTTTTGCATATTGGTTTGTTTTTAGAACCAGTTTTCCACACGGGTAGTTGAACATTGTAAGTTTTTTAAATAGAAACCAATCGAGTCTAAAAATAATCCTATGTAACAAAGGTGGCAATATGGCCCTACAACAAATGTTGCATATAAGATATCTCAAACTATGTGATTATTAAGATATTTAATTTCTTTTAACACAATTATTAGGAGTCTTATATTTGGCTAAATTGCACCGTTAGTTTGTGAAATTAGTGTATATATGCACGGTTAGTCTCTTTTTCTGGTGAGAATTCAAAATGCTGGTCACAGGATACGGTATTAAAAGAAGCAAATAGGGATCAAACTTGAACCCAGTGAGAAGCACATCAAGATAAATTACTTAGTGTTAATAGATTCAGAAACATATGTCCCTTCATATCTCTATTGTTCTGTCTTTAAAACGGAAAAAAGTGAAACTTCTTCACTGCCATATCTGATGGTATTGTTCTAGTTCTAGTAGGATTATAATTATAATTAGCTCTATATATATCTTAGCCAAGCTTGGGTTATGATATGAGAAACATATGAGAGTTTATTGTAATTGGTTTTGAGTAATTTTCCAGTTATAATAAAAGATTGTTTTCCAACAATTGGTATCGGAGCTCAAATAATAAAAAAAGGGGACAGATCGCAGCAGGGTGTAGATCTGTTTTGAGTTGTCTATTTCCGTCTCGATCAGAATTGAGAACTGCATGAGTGAAGGCCGTGTCGACTTCCAGATCGCCGCCTCCATCCTAGCCGAGGTCGCCACAGCCCAGGTCCCGCCACTGCCTCCGCTACAGAGGTCTCGCCGCCGCTGGAGTCCACACACAGCCTGTCGCTGAAGGACACAGCAACAACGGGCAGAGGGTCCGTCCATTATCCGCGTGCAGTCAGCCGCCACTTGGAGACTGCGAAGGATCTCCACTTCTTTTAATCTGCTGCTGAAGACCGCCGCTATTTGGGTAATCCCTGATTTTCAATCGAGACTAGGGTTGCAAAAAAGGGGAAAGCCATGGGAGAGAAGGAGCAGCCGGAAACAACGACAAAGGAAGGAATGAGCACATCCTTCATGTGTCCTATTTTGACGACAACAAACTACTCTGTCTGGGCTATTCGCATGAGTGCTTAGAGTCCACTCAGTATGGGAAGCCATCGAACCAAGTGTAGAGGACGCCAAGAAAAACAATGTTGCGATAGCATTGCTCTTCGAATCAATCCCTGAAGATTTGATCTTGCAGGTTGGTTCAATAAAGACTCCTAAAGAAATATGGAATGCAATCAAGGCTCGACACTTGGGTGCAGACCAAGTGAGAGAAGCACAGTTGCAGACTCTAATGGCAGAATTTGACAATCTAAAGATGAAGGACTCGTGTGCCATTGATTAGCACGCGAGTAAAATAGCCGGAATCGCGTCAAAGGCTGCAGCACTTGGAGATACTATTGATGAAAAGAAACTTGTCAAGAAGTTTCTTGCAAGCTTGCCAAGACGGTTTATCCACATAGTCACCTCAATTGAACAAGTTTTGGATCTCAAAACCCTGGGACTTGAAGATGTGGTGGGACGGTTGAAGGCTTATGAAGATCGGGTTCGAGATGAGGAACCACAGGTCGATCAAAGCAAACTCATGTTCCACAAGGTTGAGTCCAACTCAAGGGGTCGAGATCAGGGAAAACCGGGCCGTGGTCGTGGACGTGGACGGTGGATCAAATCAGGGACGTAGAACCCAAGCATGTGACCAACAAAATTCGCGCGAGCAGCAAGAAGGAGGTGAGAAGTCTGGAAAACCGAAGGGAAAAGGCAAGGATCGCACCAAAGTACAATGCTTCAGGTGTGATCAATATGGGCACTTTGCCAGTTGCCTCAAGTTGCCCGCAACGCAAGATAAAACAAGGCGAGGTACATCTGACCGAGGCGAATGAAAACGACCAGCAACTCTTCATGGTGAGAAGCATTCAAGAAACTGTGTTCTTGAATGAAGATAAGGTGATACCGAATCAGTACCCGACTGAAGGGGACATATGGTACCTAGACAATGGTGCTAGCAACCATATGACTGGAAATCTCTCTTATTTTTCTGAAATCAACAAAACGAGTTGGTGGTAGGGTAAGATTTGGAGATAACTCATGTGTTGAGATATGTGGAAAAGGATCTATTTTGCTTGAAGGGAACAAGGGTGAGCAAAAACTCTTGACTGACATTTATTATATACCGAGCTTGAGAGCAAATATAATAAGTCTTGGACAAGCAACTGAAATTGGATGTGAAGTGTATATGAAAGGAGATAATTTACTGCTATACGACACAAGCAAGAGGCTACTTATGAAAGTCCAGAGATCCTCAAACAGGTTGTACAAAACAAAGTTGAAAGTGGGGAAGCTGATTTGCCTACACAGCCGAATTGTAGAAGACAGTTGGTTATGGCACGCAAGGTTACGGCATGTCAATTTCCAAACCTTGAAGATGATGGCACAAAAGGAGTTAGCCATCGGGTTACCTCGTCTTGAGCATGTAAACCAACTGTACGAGTCATGTTTAGTTGGGAAACACGCTAGGAGGCCCTTCCCACAATCGACACAATACCAAGCAAGTAGAGTTCTAGAGCTCGTCCATGGAGACTTGTGTGGGCCAATTACACCTTCAACGCTTGTTGGGAACAGGTACATATTTGTCTTGATAGATGACCACTCACGGTTTATGTGGTCTTACCTACTGAGGGAAAAAGGAAAGGCTTTGACTCCTCTGAGGTCCTTCCCGGTATTTAAGGAGTTGGTAGAGAATGAGACATGTGCCAAGATAAAGACTTTTCGAACAGACAGGGGTGGGGAATTCACCTCACGTGAATTCAACTCATTGAGTGAAGAAAGTGGAATGGCTAGGCACTTAACCGCTCCATACACACCACAACAGAATGGTGTGGTGGAAAGGCGGAATCGTACCCTACTCGAAATGACACGAAGCTTACTTAAGGCAAAGGGTGTTCCTAACTATTTGTGGGGAGAAGCAGTTCGATATGCAACCTATATTTTGAATTGGATTCCCACAAAAGCGTTATCAGGAAAGACACTGTATGAAGGTTATCATGGTCAAACACCGAATGTCAGCCACTTAAAGGTGTTCGGATGTGTGGCCTATGCAAAAGTTGATGGGGTCGGGAAGAAAAAGATGGATGATCGATCAAGAAGGTTAGTGCATTTGGGGCCGGAACCAGGTACCAAGGCATAACGGTTATTTGACCCTCATACTCGAACACTGTGTCCCGAGATGTGGTATTTGACGAGAAGGCAAAATGGAACTGGGCCAAGGCTAACACCGAAGATGATCGAGACCCAGGTATGTTTTGGGTACAATGGAGTAGAGCAATTGAAACTGGAAATGGGCCAGTAAATGTGGACCAGCCCGACGCAGAAGAGAATGGAGTTCAACTTGGGCCGAGAGACATGAATGGGCCCAATAATCTTATAAACACTTCATCCGCTGAACCCATTAAAGAATCAGTTTCAAATTGCTCCCAGATGAAACCGAAAGCTTGCTAGAGACACATATCAGGAGGTCCACCCGGCAAAAGCAACCACTGGCTAAATAAAATGACTATGTTTTAAATTTACAGGAAGAAGTTGAACCAACCCATTTTCTCGAAGCTAAATCCAGTCCGAAAGGATGAAAGCAATGAAAGAAGAGCTTGAGTCTATAGAAAGGAATAAAACTTAGACCCTAACCAAACTTCCAGATGGCGTGAAACCTATCGGGCTAAAATGGGCTTATAAAATTAAAAGGAATGCTGACGAGTCGATAAACAAGTACAAGGCAAGACTCGTGGCAAAAGGCTATGTGCAACAACCTGGAGTTGGCTTTGACGAGGTATTTGCCCCGGTTGCCCGACTAGAGACGGTTCGACTACTTATCTCTTTTGCTGCTTCAAAGGGTTGGGAGTTGCATCATCTTGATGCAAAGTCAGCACTCAGCACTCTTACATGGAGATTTAAAAGAGGAAGTCTTTGTAAGCCAGCCGGATGGGTTTATTAAGAAACCAAACATGGATTACAAACTATCAAAGGCTCTTTACGGGCTGAGACAGGCCCCACGAGCATGAAATACCAAGCTTGATGGTATTCCACGTGACATGAAGTTTCAAAGGTGTGTTAAAGAGCAAGCGGTCTACCGAAGGGTTATCAAAACTGACTTGTTAATAGTTGGTGTGTATGTCGAATTGTCGATGATTTGGTAGTAACCGGTTCTAACCTGATGATCATATCCAAGTTCAAGCAAGCTAAAGGAGAGAAATTCGAAATGTCAGATTTGGGAAAGCTTACGTATTACCTCGGGATAGAAGTATTGCAGACAGCGAAAGAGATACAAATCAAGCAGGAGGCATATACGAAGAAGATTCTAAAGGATGCTGGAATGATAGACTGCAATCCAACATATGTGCTGATGAACCCAAATACTCGGTTATCAAAGGTACCTCTTACGAACCCGACCTGACTTGGCTTACTCGGTTGGGGTTGTAAGTAAGTACATGCAATCTCCAAGACGATTTCATATGGCATCCGCTAAGCAAATGTAGCACTCTTGTCATGTGAAGCCGAGTACATGGCAGCAACTTCAGCCAGTTGTAAAGCAGTGTGGCTACGTATGTTGCTAAGTGAGATCACCTGCTCAGATTTGCAAGTGGTAGTGTTACGGATTGATAATACATCAGCGATAGCATTAGTAAAGAATCATGTGTTCCATAGTCGAAGTAAACACATAAACCCTCGTTACCATTATATTCGGGAATGTGTGGAACGCAATGAGGTTTTTATGGAACACGTGACTGGGAAAGAACAAAGGGCTGACATTCTAACAAAGGCGCTTGCTCGAATCAAGTTCAAGGGGGGATGAGAATGTTACTTGAAGTTGAACATCTCCCAAAATCCAACTCGAAAATTAGGGGGGTGAATGAAGGCTAATTACCTAGTTGGATTAGGAGTACCAACCCAAGATGTTCTTATTCTAGTAGGAATAGAATTATGGGTTGTAGGCTTAATTAGCTCTATATATATCTTAGCCAGGCTTGGGTTATGATATGAGAAACATATGAGACTTTATTGTAATTGGTTTTGAGTAATTTTCCAGTTATAATAAAAGATTGTTTTCAAACAAGTATGACATGGATTTGGAGAGGAGAGAGCAACAACTAATTGATAATATCAATTTCAGGCAACCCATAATTATGGTTAGAATCAAGCTTGAATTTTTTTTATTAAACATTGTTTTTTGTCAATTTCTGGATTGTTTCTTGTGAAATTAAAAATACCATGATTTTTTTGTTGTGTTTCGCATTAGGTGAATTATTTCAAATTTGGAGGGATGAATGCGTGCTGGTGAAGATGGTGTTGGATTAAGTAGGAAATAGATTTGGGCTGACTGGAGCTTTTAGTTTTTGCACGAAATAAGAAGATAAACGGAATGAGGGTTGACTTAATATTATTATATTTCTGAGGGTGCAAACTGGTTGAAACTTAAAAGATATAGCAGCATGGATAATGAAACTGAAAAGTGCAGAAGATAAAGTAAGTACCTGTAGAGCTTGGTAGAAGCGCCCATGATTGCGGAGTGTGAGCAGAATCCTCTTGAGGTCGCCTGCCGGAGCCTTTTTCTTTTGATCTTTGACCCAATTGTCTAGATTAGATTTGACATAGAACTTGGGATAAGCTGGACGAACAATCTGCGCCCACAAGCTCTTCCTCGATTTCATTTGCATGAACACGTTTGTATGGCAGAAGCGATCGCATACCCATCGCGCTCCACAACCTTCCGGCTGGAAACGTAGCCCTAAGCCCAATCCATTGAGTCCCAAGTAAGAAACTAAACCCATGTTAACTTCGATTGGAATTTAGGATCGATCGGCGATTTTTCAGAGCTATCTTTCTAGGCCTTGAGATACTTGTTTGTATTATGGTATGTGTACCCCAAAATTTGTACCTCAATTTGTACCCCGCAATTTTGTATTAACATTTTGTGTTGGTGTAAAACTAATTTTTGTTAAACGCACCAACATTTGTGTCCGTGTGAATTTTTATTAACACACCAACACCTATGTCGGTGTAAACCATCGAAATGTTTGTGCAAACATGTGGTGTACAAATGGGGTATATTTGTTGGTGTAAGTGTAGCATGGTCCTACTTGTTTTTGTCCTTCCAGGGTATGTGACTACTCCCTCCGTCCCCCTGTATTTGTCCACTTTCATTTTTGTACACCATCCAATGCACTTCTTTAATCCATTTTATCTTGTAATTTGTATATTAAAAAATTATAAAAATTATATATTAATAATCTATATGTTAAGACAAATCAAACAAGATCACACATTACTATATTTAGGCTTACACATTAAGAGAATTTGATGAGTCAAAGTGCTTAGATGAACAGTTCCAAAAGTCAAATGTGGACAAATACAGGGGGACGGAGGGAGTATGTGATATTGTGATTTGTGATATGCTTCCCCTCTTTCCTTCCGTTTCAAGCTAGGCCTGAATTTTAATGTGGAATTTTAAAGTTTTGATAGGTTCTAATTTGATCTCAATCTCATCTTATTAAATCCAATTTGATTGGATTTATTTTATTTGATTAAATCTAGTCTAAATGAATTTATTTTTTATTTAAATTAAACATAAAGTTATTATAACAATTTCACAGTTTTAGAGTATTACAATTCATAAATATACATAGAAAAACTTAAAATAAGAAAATCGTGTTTTCTGTTGTAAACTCTGTAATTCATTCATCACATACGGGAGTATTTATACATACACGGGACGAGGTATAGTCTAGCTCAATAAGGAAACAAGATATTCTGTATAGAATTAGAAATATATCTGTCATATTTAACACTCCCCCTCAGATATATCATCATGCATTATACACTAACAACATTATGCTACTGGATAATGTTGGCTAGGTTCTTCAGGACCTATATTAACTGATACTGCAGGATCAGTTATGCTGCATCATTAAAAACCTTACTAAGAAAACTCAATGGGACAAAACTTAGGTAAGGGAAAAAGAGTACAACGTGTATAATATTTTCCCTCAAAATAAAATTATACTCCCCCTCAAAACTAATTTATCTCTTTCAGCCTGTGAAGTCCAATCTTCTTTTATGAGTTGCTCGAAAATGTGTCTAGGCAGAGATTTGGTGAATAAGTCTGCCAAATTTTCGCTTGATTTAACTTGAAGAACATTGATCTCTCCTTCTTTCTGCAGATCAGATGTTGAGAAAAACTTTGGTGAGATGTGCTTCGTTCTGTCTCCCTTGATATACCCTTCCTAGATCTGAGCTATGCATGCTCCATTGTCTTCATATATAATTGTAGGATTCTTCTTGATTTCTTCCAAACCGCATGCTCCTTGTATATGATTAATCATCGATCTCAACCAAACACACTCTCGACCAGCTTCATAAAGTGCTACCAATTCAGCTTGATTTGATGATGTTGCTGTTAGAGTTTGCTTTGTTGACTTCCAAGAAATTGTTGTACCACCATATGTGAACACATAACCTGTTTGAGAACGTGCATTGTGTGGATCTGATAGATACCCAGCATCAGCATACCCTACAAGTTGGGACTTTTCATCTTTCTGGTAGAAGAGACCTAAGTCTCGTGTCCCACAAATATATCGAAATATTTGCTTTATCCCATTCCAATGTCTACGTGTTGGGTTTGAACTGAATCTTGCTAATAGATGTACTGGGAATGCAATATCAGGCCTTGTATTATTTGCAAGATACATGAGTGCACCGATCGCGCTTAAATATGGTACTTCTGGACCAAGTACTTCTTCACCCTCTTCTTGGGGGCGATAAGGATCTTTATGTATATCTAAGAATCGGACAACCATGGGTATGCTCAACGGATGTGCCTTGTCTATATTAAAACATACTAACATCTTCTGGATATGGTTTGACTGATGGACGAATATGCCATTGTGCAAATGTTCGAATTGCAAACCAAGACATAATTTTGTTGTGCCAAGGTCTTTCATCTCAAAATCTCTCTTTAAAAGCTCAGCAGTTTTTTCTATATCTTCAGGAGATCCAATGATGTTTATATCATCAACATAAACTGCTACAATAGTGAATTTAGAGAGTGATCTTTTTATGAAAACACATGGACTAATTACATCAGATTTAAAGCCATGCTTTTCAAGATATTCGCTAAGTCGATTGTACCACATACGACCAGATTGCTTGAGACCATGTAAAGATCTTTTGAGTTGTATAGCACACATGTCTCGAGGTACTGATTTTAATGCTTCTGGCATTTTGAATCCTTTAGGGATTTTCATGTAGATGTTATTCTCAAGTGTCCCATATAAGTATGCGGTGACAACAACCATAAGTTTCATCTGAAGTCCTTCTGAGATTGTGAGGCCGATTAAGAATCTAAGGGTTATCGCATCCACTACAGGGGAGTACGTTTCCTCATAATCAACTCCTGGGATTTGGGAAAACCCTTGTGCTACAAGTCGTGCCTTATATCGCATAATCTCATTCTTTTCATTTCTTTTTATTGCAAACACACATTTATAACCCACTGGTTTGACGTCTATGGGTGTTCGGACTACAGGTCCGAAAACATTCTGTTTGTGAAGTGAATCAAGTTCAGCGTTCACGGCCTCTTTCCATTTTGGCCAATCATTTCTGTGCATGCACTCTTCTAGAGTTTTAGGTACGTAATCATTCTCATTGAGTACATCCATTTGTTGAAACACGGGTTTATCACGTTTTCGTACTAAAGCCGTGTTCGTTTTTTTGACAGGTTTTGATAATACCAAACCGCCATGAACGAGACAAGTTGTTGAATATACAAGGCGAGAAATAAATATAAGAATAAAGCAAGAAAACAAGAGCTAAAAGAGACCAAGAACGAAGACCGTAGTCTTTAGCGTCATTGAGTCGGTCACAATGTGATCAAGACCAACCCAAGCTTTGCACTTTGGCTCTTTAGGCTAAAACATTTTTATTGCATTTTACATATCATCAAAATTATTGTCAAACATGCTTAAACATATTAAAAACACTTGGTGTTCGCCCAAACCAAAAACCAAGCCATACGGGGTTCGGCTTTCGGAAACCGGCATTCGGTTTTTCAGAAACCGGCGTTAGGAGTTCGGTTATTGGCGTTGGTTTTTGGCGTCCGAACCAACCAAGTGATTTTCAACCTTTTATGATTGGTTTTTACTTCTGGGTACATTTAAATAGTTTTCCATAAAAAACACTTCAAAAACCACCTTTCGTTTTTTGTCGTTTGATAAAAACTATGCGAAACAGCATAAACTTGGCTAGCCGCGGTTTTTACTTAAATTAAGTGGTTTTCGAGTCTTTTTGTGTGAAAATTGTTTTTGAATGCATTTAAATGGTTCTCCAATCAAAACATCATGAAAACCACCTTTCAGTCTTGTCTTTTGGTAAAAACCACCCGTGTACGGCGTTGACTTGGTCAACCATGGTTTTTACCTTAACGACGTGGTTTTCAACTTACAAAGCTTGTTTTGACATCACAATACATTAAATAAATGTTTTAAATACTTAGTTTTTACTTTGGAGAACTTTGCATTTTTTGGTCGCGTTTTAGCGCCGGTCAGCTAGGCCATGGTTCTGGGCTAGCCATCTACCCAGCGATGGTAGATATCACCCATCCATGGGTAAGTGATCTCGGGATTCCAGAATCATTCCACCCAGTGATGGGAGAAATTACCCAGCGATAGGTAAGCAGCCTTCAGCCCAATTGAATTCCAAAACCATGCCAAACAGCGATGGGAAGCTCAACCCATCGCTGTTCAAGCCTTGGTCCAACATTATCACAAGGCAAAATGCCCTTACCCAGCGATGGGAGATATTACCCATCCATGGGTAAGTGACTTCCCAGCGATGGGAGGATATTACCCAGCCATGGGAAGGCATGACCGTTGGAAGTCATTTAAGGCTGATTCTTTCCTTGTTTGAAAGTCAACCTCTCACCCAGCGATGGGAAGCATTTACCCATCAATGGGTAGGTGGCCGTTGGCTTCAAAACTGAAGGAAAATTGGCTTACAGCGATGGGTAAGTCCAAACATCGATGGGAAGCCAATATCCAGCATATCCATTTTTAATCAATCACATAAATCAAGCCAATCACCCCTTAAATGTTTTGATCCGTTGGAGCCTACTTTGGCACTATAAAAAGGGGTGTTTGGGTCTTCTTTAAACATCAATTCACTTCACATTATTCATATTATCGTTGCATTCAAACAACATCATTTTCCATAGATTTCTAGAGCCAATTTGTGAAGTTTGAGTTGTTCTTGAGCGTATATAGTTTACTCAACATCTACTCTTAAAGAGAATCTTGTTCTTGAGTGTTCATAGTGTTTTAAACACTTTTAGGGAAGCTTGTTTCCCTTGGTTATACGAAGGAAATGTATTTTCCTTCGGGTTGAAGTCTTGGAGTGCGGTATCTCCGAGCAAGTATTGTTGAGGCTCGTGGGACTCGAGTTCTCAGGTTATAACAGTTTGTTAAGCACCCATAAGCTTAACGGAAGTAGTGTAGCTCGAGAGAGTCTCTCGGGAGACTGGATTAGCCATACATTGTGGTGAACCAGTATAAATCTTGGTGTGCTCCCTTTACGCTTTCTACGCCCTTTACTTTTCACGTTCTTAGTTTTTTATTCCTGCGATTTCTACGATCAAACGCTATTCACCCCCCCTCTAGCGTTGGTCACTTATTCTAACACCATTGCTATAGCATATGCAAAAATTTCATCAACACGTGTTTCATGCCAGTTCCATATTGTACTATCTTGTACATAATTAATAGAGATCTCATTTTCATTCGGTACCGGTCTTTCTTCAGGAATATCATTTTCCTCTGGAAATGTATTGGTCTCTTCTAGGACATTTACCTCTACAAAGGTATCTTTCATAATCTTCTCTGTGGTTTCACCAACTGCACAATTTTGGTTCTTTCGTTTTCATGGGTTCTTATCTTTGGAACCGATTGGTCTCCCACGCTTTCTTTGTATGGTAATCGCTTCTGGGATTACTTCAATACGAGCGGGTGCATTAGATGCTGATATATGTGACTTTGTCACTCTATTTGTATCTATGAATGCATCTGGTAATTCATTTGCTATGCGCTGCAAATATATGATCTTTTGGACTTCAGAATCACATTGACCACTTCGGGGGTCGAGTATCGATAGTGATGATGCATTCCATATTACTTCCTGTGTTACCAGCCTTTCTTCATTCTTATCTCCCCCTAAGACTGGGAATACTGTCTCATTAAATTGACAGTTAGCATACCGTGTTGTAAACATATCTCCTGTCAATGGTTCTAAATATTTAATGATAGACGCGGAGTTAAAACCAATATGAATGCCCAGTCTTTTCTGGGGTCCCATTTTGGTACGCTGTGGTGGCGGTATTGGGACATAAACTGCACAACCAAATATTTTTAAATGGGACAAATTTGGTTCTCTTCCAGAGACCAGTTGAAGTGGGGAGTATTCTTGATCAGCAGTTGGTCTTAGTCTGATCAGTGCAGCAGCATGTAAAATAGTGTGCCCCTATGCCGAAGATGGCAATTTACTTCTCATCAGAAGAGGTCTAGCAATTAATTATAATCTTTTAATTAATGATTCAGCTAGACCATTTTGTGTATGAACATGAGCTACTGGATGTTCAACATTTATCCCAATTGACATGCAATAATCATCAAAAGCTTGGGATGTGAATTCTCCTGCATTATCCATGCGAATATTTTTAATTTGATTTTCTGGGAAATGCGCTCTTAATTGTATGATTTGGGCTAAAAGTCGTGCAAACGCTACATTTCTAGTAGCTAGAAGACTCACATGTGACCATCGTGAGGAAGCATCAATCAACACTAAAAAATAGCGGAAAGGTCCACATGAAGTCATGAAGGATGTATGGGCCCACAGATGTCCCCTTGGATTCTTTCCAAAAAGGAAGGATTTTCATGTATCAATTTTATTTGGGAGGGCCGTGTTATGAATTTTCCCAGAGAGCATGCTGCACATGATAAATCTTGCGGCAGTAAGATTTTAATATTTTTAAGCGGATGCCCATTCGCATTTTTTATTATGCGTCTCATCATGGTACTGCCAGGGTGACCTAGTCGGTCATGCCATATGGTAAAAGTGTCTCTATCTAGTAACTTCTGGTTACTTACCATATATGACTCAATAAGATTAATAGTAGTGCAATATAATCCAAAGGATAAAGCTTCTAGCTTTTCTAAAGTGTCCTCATTGGAAATAATTTGTAGGTATTCTCTACTATTTTCGGATGTGGTTTTGAGGTGGTAGCCATTTTGTCTTATATCTTTGAAACTAAGTAAATTTCTTCTAGATTTCCTGGAGTATAATGCATCATTTATGATTAATTTGGTACCCAAGGGTAATATGATGCATGCTCTTCCGGAGCCTTCAATTAGGTCACTAGCACCCGAGATAGTACCAACAAGTATTTTGATTGGAAATAATTCAGAGAAATATTCCTTATGTTTTAGGATTGTGTTGGTGCTACCACTATCCACCAAACATTCATCACCAATAAGAGGTCTACTGGAGCTTGTGTTCATATTTCTTCAAGAAATAAAATAATGATTATTATTCATTCATTTAATAAATCACCTCATAAAGCTTTGAATAAGAATAATATGCATAATAGAGAGCATAGGAAAAACATCAAACAAGTTCAAAACAAAAAATCCAAATGAATGCAACACATTGTCTAGAACATAGTCGTAAAGATAGGGAAAGAAAGGAAAAAAAACTACGCAGTATGGTTTAATAGTCCTCAAAGGTTTAATGGTCCTCAATGAAATCAGATGCATCTAGATGAGTATTTGTGAGCATAGTGGTGGTGTCAACGAGATTTGTCTCAACGTGTTTTCCCTTTTCATTCTCTTTCACCATTCGTTGATATGCCTCCACGAGATGTTTAGGGGTGTGACATGTTCAAGACCAGTGGTTGGTCATGCCACACTTGAAACAGATACTTTCTTGGCCTCCTTTAGCTTTACCCTTCGAGGGTCGTCCCCCATCATTCTGCTTCAGTTTACCCTTTCCGTGCTTAGGATTATAAGAATCTCGATGCCATGTATTACTTCGTCCACGACCACGACCTCTGCTGGGGCCGCGGCCTCTTCCTCTCCCTCGTCCACTCTGAGTAGTTGCCACATTCACTTCAGGGAATGGGCTCGCACCAACTGGTCGTGCTTGATTATTTCTCACGAGTAGCTCTTTGTTTTGTTCTGCTACCAACAGACATGATATCAAATCACAGTACTTAGTGAATTTACGTTCTCTGTATTGCTCCGACAGATTAATATTAGATGTATGGAACGTAGAAAAAGTCTTTTCAAGCATCTCTTTATCAGTGATTGGTTCTCCCCATAACTTCAGGACGGAGGTGATGCTGAAAAGTGCAGAATTGTACTCAGAGACTGATTTATAATCTTGTAGTCTTAGATGGAGCCATTCATAACGAGCCTTTGGCAGTAAGATCAACTTCTGGTGATTAAAGCGCTCTTGAATGCTATTCCACAATTCGAGGGGATCTTCAATGGTGAGATACTCCTTTTTTAGGTCTTCGTGGAGGTGATGACGGAGGAATATCATGGCCTTTGCCTTATCTTGAACAGAAGCTTCATTTCCTTCAGAAATTGTGTCTCCTAGATTCTTTGTCGTAAGGTGAATTTTGGCATCTAAGGTCCATGTGAGGAAGTTTTTCCCGGATATGTCGAGTTCGAGAAAATCAAGTTTTGAAAGGTTTGACATTTTAACTACCAAGAAAAAGTGTATTAAGACAAGTTAGAGCATATAAAAAAAATACATTCTTGGAGAACTTCAGGTTCTAGTTTGCAAGAACTAATGGTTCAAAAAAATGACTTTCAAGTTGATTTTCTATAGTAAATTTCGAGAGTGAAAAAGAAAACTTTTAACATATTCACAATCGAAAAACTTTTATGTCTCATAAACAATTAAAATATCATTAGACCAATTCACTTCTAGAAATTGGTAAAATTACAAATTTCCCTTTAGTCCAGGAAAAAAATGTGTAGTTTGAGGTACACGAGATCAAAATTTTGTTCAATAGCATTATTATTATTATTATTTTAGCATCAAGTCATTCATAGTGGATCAGATCCTATGCAAACAACAAACAAGTGGCCCATGTTTCTAATTTACTAAAGGCAAATGCAACACACTTACTGCACAAACATTAACTAATATTAAGGGATCTTAGTTGCGATCTGAACCAGTACAACATTTGTTTGTTGACATCTTATTAAGAAACCAAAAAACCTTTATAGACCGAAGCATAGATAGATAAACAATCATGGATTTCAAACATAAATATATACAGACCGAAGCAAAAATAAATCGCGATAATGGGTTTCAATTTTACTTGCTAAAGAACAATTAGATCGGATAAACAACAGGGATTACGATTCATATTTCAAAGTTCATAGATTACAATTTTAGATTTCATATAGCATACATAGGTGGCATATTTAACTGGACCATTCAATTTTACAGAATAAAAAAAATTGCAAAATGAAAAATTAAAAATCTTTAGATTGTATTATGGTCCAGGCCGATTGTACTGTATGTGATATTAAAAAAAATTCATCTCCAATTATGTATTTGATATAAAAAAAATCCTAATTCATATAGCAAACAGCAATTATCTGTACACGAACAGAAATCATGTAGAACTATAAGTTTAAAAGATTAAATTTGATAATTTGAGATACCTGATTTGTGGGAATCTGAAATTTCCGAAAAGAGAATATGGGGATGGAGACCGGTTATGGAGAATCGAAGCCGGTGATGGCGGCGATGGAGAATCGAAGCCGCTGCTCTGGTCACGGCGTGGAACGAAAAAAGGGCAGCGGAGGACGGCGATGAGTTTTTTTCTGCGATGCACCACCGAGAACGGCAAAAAACAGGAGAGGCTAAAAAAATAGGGTTTGAGTGCCTCGTGTTGATAACTTGTTGTAAAATCTGTAATTCATTCATCACATACGGGAGTATTTATACATACACGGGACGAGGTATAGTTTAGCTCAATAAGGAAACAAGATATTCTGTATAGAATTAGAAATATATCTGCCGTATTTAACATTTTCAAATATTTTCTTTTAAATATTAAGTATTTTTTCAATATCATTGCTATTTTAATATCTGTAAAAACTCAATAATCAATTTTTCTTAATATACTAAAGATAGTGTATTATTACTCAGTGTTAAAAAAATCAAATATTATAAAATATGGATGTTTTTCTAAAAAAATAATGCACTTTTTATACATATTACATAATAATATATTACAAGTTACAAATTACACATTACAAAAAATCTTAAATTCTAATATTCTTTTCAGCTCTACCAATTTGGTCATAATATTTTTAAGTTTAAAAATGAATCTTTTTTAGTATAAAAGTATTTATGATATTAAAAACAAATTTTTGTATAATTCTTTTTTTTGTGGAAAATGTAAATAGAAAGAGAATAGGAATATACAAATAGAACGGGCATGCCCGAACTAGGAATGGGAGCAACCCTTCCACTACATCAAGCACCTCAACGGGACACCCTCATACATAAAAGGGGAAAACCAACCCCAAAACCAAGGCACACAGGCTAACCCAAACTAAAAAGTAAGATGAACATTTGGCCACACACGGCCTAAAACACAATAAACCATAGTTTTGATATTACAAATCACACCATCTATATTAAGAGGCTTGCGTTCAAAATGGAAGGCATTACGCTGTTTCCAAATGAGGAATATGGTGCATGCCAACCCTATCCTCCGCGTGTTCTTCAGGATAGGATCTCCTCGTCTAGCCGTCCTCAACCACCTGATGGCTCTTTCTAAGGTTGTCAGTTGGGCATCAATCCAAAGCCAGTGCCTAATGGCTCCCCAGATTTGCTTTGACACACAGCATCCAAAGAAGAGGTGGCTAATGTCCTCGACTCCATCTCCACAAAGCTCACACTCCATAGGAAGACCAAGGAATTCCAAATTGGTCTTGGTAGGAAGTCTCCCCCTAAGCACCAGCCACATCGTAAAGGAGCACTTAGGAGGAATTAGAAAATGCCATATGAAAGCCATCCAAGGCTTGGGATTGGACTTGTCCCTAAGAAAATCATAAACCTTACCTGGACAAAGATTATCGCCAATACAAAACTGTTGCATAGCCACTTCCAAGGAGGAATTATGGTCACCAAGCTTTTGTACCAAAAGCTCTCGCACATAGGCAAGCCTTTTAAAGAAGATAGAGTGTCTCTTCCTGGGCTGCCACACCCACACACATTCATTGCGCAGATAAACAGTGTGAACCCAAATCACCCAAAGTGAATCCTTTTTTGCAGCAATGTTCTATAAGGCTTTACACATAAGAGCATTATTCCAGGTTTCAGCATCCCTCAAGCCCAAACCCCCTTCATTTTTGGGTTTACAAATGTCAGCCCATGCCAATTTAGCAAACTTGCTGCCCACAGGAAGTCTCTGCATATAGTAGTAATACGGTTAAGCACAGTCTTCTGAACTGGGAAGGCTTGGAGCCAAAATGATTCCACCCCCTGAATCACTGCTCTAATCAGCTCCAGTTTGCCAGCATAAGAAATTTTCAAGGTACTCGATCCATTTCCCAAGGAACATGTCAATTTTCATGAAGAGTGGTGCATAATCAGATCCTGAAATACGATGGGAGGATAAGGGCAGCCCGAGATACCTGACAGGAAGTTCACCTCTAGGGAAGTTAGCCAATTGGAGGATATCCTAACTAGCATCCCCATACTTTCCAGCAACAAAAATATTAGATTTGGTTGGGTTGAGGCATAGTCCAGACACCTTGGAGAAATGATCTAGGGCATCCATCATAACCTTAACAGAAGAGAAATCACCTCTAGGGATATACCCAACTCTGAGCAATTCTTATGGAAATTAAAGGATCCTTCCTTGGTTTTGGTGTTGATCAACCTCGACAGGTACTCAATGCAAAAAATGAACAGAGTGGGAGCCATAGGGTCACCCTGCCGAAGGCCACGCCTGCTCTTAAAGAACCCATGTGTGTTCCCATTAATAGAGATAGAAGATGAAGCTGAAGTGATGCATTCCATGATGAGGCCAACAAATTTGAGAGGAAAGCCAAGTCCAAGCATAACTACCTGTAAGAAGTTCCAAGATACAGTATCATAAGCTTTGGAGATGTCCAACTTGATCATACAACTACGGGTTTACCTCTTGATGGCATAGTCTCTAACGAGATGCTGGGCTAGTAAAACATTGTCAATAAGGGATCTTCCTTCAACAAAGGCCCCTTGAGCCTTGTCAATAAGATCTAGAAGTAAGGGAGCCATCCTTCTAGCCAGAATCTGGGTTATGATTTTGTAGAGCACATTGAGGCAGGAGATAGGCCTGAAGTCCCTAACAGTTGGATCATGGGTAGTCTTAGGGATAAGCACTACTATGGCATGATTCAGTTGTTTAAGGAGCCTACCTGTGTTAAAGAACTCATAAATAGCCTCAAAGACATCGTGCCCCACAGTAGCCCATTGGTCCTTGAAGAAAGCAGCCGTATACCCATCAGGTCCAGGTGCTTTATTACTTCTAAAAGAGAACACCACATACTTCACTTCATCCATAGAGACCGGTGCCAGGAGGTTATCATACTCACTCAAGGGAACCTGAGGTCCATTGGAAATGATGAGAGGATCAAGAGGTTCCACTGGAGGGGAAGAGCCAAAGAGTTCAGTATAAAAGTCAAGGAAGCATTGTGCTACTTCACCTGATGAGGTAGTCCTGGAACCATCCTCCTTGATAATAAAGGGAACAGCATTTTTCCTTCTATTTTTCTTCACCAAGGAGTGGAAATAGCTAGTGCTCTTTTCAGCCTTAACGAGATAGTCACACTTAGCTTTTTCCTTAAAGAAATCCAATTCTGCTTCAAGAAGGAAATTAGCAATCTTCCTTTTGGCCTTGATCAATTCCTCCAGTTCCTAGTTGTTTGGATCAGCCACAAAGTCTTTCATAAGGAGTCCATACTCTTCTTTGGCCGCAGATGCCCTGCTGGAAATATGAGCATAGGCATTCCTGTTCAGGGCCTTTAAAGGTTGCTTCAAGGACTTAAGTTTAGAGCAAATTATGAATTGTTTGGATCTAAGAACACAAGGTTGCCATGCTTGCTCAACCAGGTTTGGAAACTCTTGATGCTTCACCCACATGTTAAAGAACTTAAAGGCCTTGGCTTTTCTAAGAACAGGGCCACCACTCTAAAGCATAATTGGGCAGTGGTCTGAATGGAAGTTAAAGTCCATAAAATCAGCAACAGGTTCCAGTCCAATATCCCCCCATCTCTAGTTAATGAGGACCCTATCAAGTTTGGCGAGTTTCTTCCCACTATGCCAAGTGAAATAGTTCCCTTTAGAAGGGGCATCTTAAAGGTTATTTGAGGCTCTGAAGTGCAGCAAATCAGTCATATAATAGGGATTGAGGCTCAAGCAGTTGATCCTTTCATTGGCAGCCAGGACACTATTGTAATCACCCATAATACCCCAAGGTTTGGCTAAGGAATCAGCAATAGAGGATAGTTTCTTCCAAAGCTCTCTTCTGCTAATGACAGTATAAAGTCCATAAACAAAGGTAATGGAAAAGGCTTTCTGAGACGTAAGGCACTTGACATCACAATGGATATATTGATCTCCTACATCCAGTACAGCAAAATAAAAAAGAAGTGGGTTCCACAAAACAGCCATCCTACCCCCAGTTATAGTATCAAAATTGGTGGAATACTTCCAACCTGAGAGTTTGGAGTTGACAAAAAGTTCCAACTTGGTTCCTGAAAGCTTAGTCTCAAGGATGCATGCAAAATGGACACCAAGTTCCCAAAAATATTTACACAAAAAGTTTTGTTTAGAGGACCTATTAAGCCCTCTGATGTTCCAGCAAAGAATATTCATCAAGGAGGAGGGTCTGAACCCTTTCTACCTTTTTTGTGCCCAGCTTTCTTCCCAACCAATGCTTCTCCAACATCACTCTTCTTCCTCCCAACCCCATCAGCAGTACCAGGTTTCTTGCCCAAGGTGTTAGGAACTAGGGTCAAAACACCTTTTCCACCCCTAGGAGCATTATCCTTAGTAGTATAGGAAGGAGATGTAATGTGTCCATCAGGTGGTTCAGTAAAGCCCTTATTCTGTCTCCCTTTAGTAACCCATTCATTAGGCTTGTCAGTGTTTTGCACCCCCTCGGCCTGTAACACAGTATCCTTCACAGTATGAGCTCCAGCCTTATTGAGATCAATTTGCTCTTTGAGTTTCTTTAATTCCAAACTCCTGCAAGAGAATGGACCATGGTTCCAAGTCTTGCAATGAAAGTAATACTTTGGTTCTTCCTCGAATTCGACCACCTGGGTATATTTCTTACCCATACATGCCACCTTGAACTTTGTAACTGGTTCCTTGGAGAAACCCACAAGTGCTCTACAGAAACCCACTTTGCCCAGCTGTTTAGTGACTAAGTTTGTTCTAAGTGGTTTCCCAACTTTAGAGGCCAGCATACCGATACATCCATCAGACCACATCTGCATAGGGACATTATGGAGCTGCACCCAAACAGGGAGGGTGGTAAACTCTGCGAAATCAAACACGAACCCATGGCTAGGTATTTTGAGCCTAAACTCCTTCCCGTAAGCTTTGCTAATGTCTTTTCTTAGCAATTCATATCTATCTTTGTCATTCTCGAACTTAAGAACAACCCAGCCCTTGCAGTGGGGGATAATTCTACACGGAACATTCCAACTTTGTACAATGGCATCCACAGCTTTCAACCCAGGAAATCTACCAGTAAAGCACCACACGAGACAATACCCCCATATATCTTCGATAGGCTTAATCATCTCATCAGGAATATCAAGAACACCCTCACCCACCTCATATTGCTTGAGAATCATACCTTGCTCAGGATCTCTATTACCTTTGAAGAGGTCAGCGAAGGTAACAGACTTGGGTTTAGCTGAATCTGGTTCAGGCATATCCTCGAGCAGTTGGGGGCTGTTAGGGACATCTTCCCCAACTGTAACATCTCCCGTAATTCCATTCCCATGAGGTGGTGAGGTTTTAGAGGTAGAGGAAGAAGCCTGAGCCTCATCAAACTCTTCTTCACTCACTTCTGCTGCACCACTCACAGGAGGTTTCAATGCTTCATCTCCTTTTGATTTTTTCTTCTTGCTAGGTTTCTTCGCACTCTGCCCTTTGCTTGAACCCATAAGTTTGTATAATTCTTTTATAACCAAGTATAATGGGACAGCTCTTTTAAAGTATGAAAAGTGCAACTTGTTCAGGTCTAGAAACTAAGCAACTATTAGTAATAATGGTTTGTAATTGAAATAATAATAATAATAATAATATTTAAAATTATAATATTAAATAGGATTTAGGTGTATGTAGCTTTAAATAAAGTAATGTGATTTATTATTTAATCCTTGAAAAAATATTAATATTATTTTTTATAGTACGTCTTGATTTAATATCATTGGATACAATATGGTCTGATCTGATTAGATTTAATCTGACTGGATCTGGTCTAATCTGATTAGATTTGATCTAATGTAATTAGACCTGATCTGATTAGATTTGAGTAAATCTAATCTCATTGAATCTAATTTAATCTGATTATGTCTTATCTAATCTAATTTGATTTTAATAAGAATAAATAGTAAGCAAAAAAATTCTACAGAACGGACTCTCAGCTTCACTTTCCATTCTCTTACCCTTTTAGGTGTATGGATCATTTTTCCTTTCCTTTCTGAGTAAATTTCATCGATGGTATACGAACTTTCAGTGTTATTCCACTTTAGTATATAAATTTCAATTCCTATCACAAAAATATATGAAATTTCAATATTCTTTCACTGGTGGTCCATTAGGCGGTCTTCAAGTCATCACCAGGTCACTTAGCTCAATTTCAAATTTTGTGATTTTGACCCAGTTTTATTATTTCTACTTTCCCTTCCCTTCATCTTTTTATATAAGATCCTCTTACCGCCATTTTTCACTTATTCTTCTAAGAACCTCCACCCCATGCCCCACTCCCACACTATTAGTTTTATCTCTCTTCTTCTTCTTTTCATATTCTTCTCCTTCAGCAGTTTTTTCTTCTTCTCTTCCTCTTTTTTCTTCAGATCCACCCCTTACACTACAAAAATTGTTGAAATAGCGATAAAAATATTATGTCGCTATAGGCTAAATTCCGTACGTAATGGGCGTTAACGATGAAAATAACGACGGTAACATTTCCTTCGTTATTTTTTCATTAGTATTATGTATGACGATGATTTTTTTTGCAATTTATCGCTAAGCAACGACGGAAAGAGCGACAGAATCGGGCAACGGGTTCAACAACTGAAAAACTCTATCGTCAGGTTTCAACGGCGGAAATCGCAACCAATTGGAAAATCTGACCATATAGCAACGAAAAGGCTATTCTGTCGCCAAATTTGTCTCTGATTTGATAGAAATTCTACAGCAACCTGTTATTTTTTCAATTTCACACAACAACAAATAGAACGACCTGCTCTATCTCAGCTTCACAACATCAAACAACCAACAAATACACCAAATGAAGAGTAGCAAACAACCGAGAATATTCAAATCACCAAGCTATAATTAAACTTTAACAAATATTTATAAAAAATCTACTTAACCATCAAACTTAAGTTTAATATAATATATATAAAAATTCAACTTAACAATCAAACCTAACTCCCTGTACATATCCATCAAACTTAAGTTTAATATAATTATCTTCAATTCTGATAAAATATTTAAAAAGCCCATGCAAACCCCGACCCTCCTCCATCTCCACCGCCATCTCCATTTCCACATGGGAAAACTCCTCCATATAGTCGAGCCATCTCTTCTCTAATGGACAATAGTTCATGTGCTTGGGAATCTCTAATGTCTTCTAGCTCTTCTTTCAACTTCTTGATCTCATCATCTCAAGGATCCCACACATAGCTGGTGTTGGCACGTCTTGCCTCACTTGCATGCATTATCGTGTGAAATTTTTTAATTTCTATGTTAAACTGATTTTTGATAATGGTATGGAAATTTTGAAATGCACTTAAGGCTCCATATTTGTGTTTAAGAGGGTAAACTCAGCAATACATTGTAAATTCATCTACAAAATTAATATAAAAATGATAACCACCAAACAAAGGAACAGAACTAGGACCCCAAACATTAGAGTGAACTAATGAGAAAGGTAATGAGAAAGGTAATTTATGAGACTTAGACATAAAACAAGAGTCACATTGGGTTACATCAGAAGCTAAAGGAACACTAAGTTTAGAAAACAATAGTTTTGTAACTTGAGACGAAGGATGACCAAGCCTACAGTGCCACTGGTGAGACGTTATCTTCAAAGCATTGACTACCAGTGGAGCCACAGAAGAGGTCGGAGACACCGAAGGAGACACATGAATAGGAAGAGTGTACAAACCCCGCTCACATGGGTCTTTATATATCACCTGATTGGTTTGGTTGTCAAGGATCATGAAACCCTTTGAGGAGAAAAGAAGAGAGCAGTTATTATCTGTGGTAAATTGGGAAACAAACAGAAGGTGAGTATTTAAGTTAGGAACATGAAGGAGGTTTGATATCGTGAAGGTACCTGTGGGAGAATGTAATTGACCAGAGCCAACACACGATATAGGAAGAGATTGACCTCCAGTAGTGGAGACAGTGTTTGGGTCGTAATAAGGAGCAGGATTATGTAACCTTGAGAAATTAGAAGTGACATGAGTAGTTGCACCAGATTTAAGGTGCCTATTTTGACCAGACTTGAGTAAGATATGCAGTATATAAAGCTTGAGTGTCTGAAGTGGAATGAGATGGCCTAGAGAACTCTTCATTGTAGCAATTCCAGCACTGCCAATACCCATGATATGATTTCCCACAAATCTGACGAACAATAGGAGAATCTCGTGTGGTACCACATCCATGGCCTCCGCCATTCTGTTGCCCACAAGACTCGGGATTTCTTCCACCTAATAACGTTTGATTTCACAAACCGTTAGAACTTCTACCACTTGGTGCAAGAATACAAATTTTTTAAAAAAAGTAAGAAAAGAAATCACAGTGGAATAATTCTTCCAACACAGAGTAGATTGCCACAAATACAATGAAGTCTTATAGAATTTTGCAAAATCTCTCAAAGCCTCAAGCAATAAAGAAAAACTCAAGCAAGAAAGGATTTAGCAATCAAAATAATTGTCTTGCTTGGATATTAGAAGGGGATTGAGTAAAATCTATTTGGATATTCAAAAGATGTGTTTTTCACAGTTAGACCTGTGCAAACAAGGGTCGGCCCGTTCGGCCCGCCCAGCCCGCCCTTTAAAAAGGGCGGATATGGACAACCTTTAATACCCAAATGGGTGGGCTAGCTCAAGCCCGAATTGTATATGGGCGGATCTGGAAGTTACTTTTAGTCCATCTGGGCCAACAGGCCCGCCCATATTCATCAAATATATTTACTTTATTATTAATTACCTAGCTAATATAAATTTTATAATTTTCTTTAATTCATGTATAATAGTTTAATTCATTCACCTCTTTTAAACAAAAATCAATACTCTTTTAATGAATCAGTATGATGGATTTATTAATTATGCAACAATATCTCTATTATGCTTTCTATATAAATGTGGTGACTAGTTATTTTATTTTAAACATTAAAAAAGTTCAATGTTTTTTTAAAATTTTTTGTACAAAAAATTTTTTTCTTGATGTTTTAGCCGGGCCGGGCGGCCCGGTGGGTAGTCTGGCCCGCAAAGATGGGTGGATATGGGTATAGAATTTAGCCCATCAAATCCGGGTCGGGCCAGGCCCGCCAATGTAAATGGGTTCATAATTTATATCAAGCCCGGCCCGGATCCTTATTTGCACAGGTCAATTCACAGTGTTCTTGGTGTTCTTCTTATGATATAACAAGACCAGAGAGTTTATAGAAGTAAGGGATTGGAAACGGATGAAAAACTTTCAAAAAAACTAATCGTTTGGAAGTTGAAAATGCCAGTTTATTTGAATAAGGTCTTCATTCATTTGAATAAGGCCCCGTTCCGTTCAACTTATTTTTTCTTATTCTTATTAAAATCAGAACATATCATATCAGACTAGATCAGATCAGATCGAATCAGATCAGATCAGATCAGATCAAATTAGATCAGATCAAATCCAATCAGATCAGATCAGATCCAATCAGATCTAATCAGATCTGATCAGATCCAATCAGGACTTATTAAAATCAGATCCCATCAAAAATTATTATTATTATTATTATTATTATTATTATTATTATTACTATTATTATTATTGTTCTTAAAAATGAAAAAGAATAAACTTTAGAAATATGTTAAATAGAAAACTGAAAAGTAATCCTTAATTATTAGACGTCGGAAAAATTAGTTTTAAAATACATTAACAATGTCAATCTAATTCTACTTTTAAAATATATTTTTATTGCTACATGTAATTTGAGTTTCTAAACTTTTGATCTTTTATAAGGATGAGATATTTTAATAAAAATACTATCTCTTCTATATATTGATTATCTAAATTTATTACTTTTTAATGTATATCTAAATTAAATATTTATTCTAATGTATAATTCTAATTTTACAAAAAAATAATCATAAAATAAAAATATGATTACATTAAAATATGAATGATTATTCTAATATATGAATTAACTATTTTTATTTTATTAAAAAATAATCATTAAGTAAAAATATTGATTATATTATAATATGAATTATCATTACAATTTTTCAAACGTTATTATAAAGTCAAATTAAATTATTGATTTAAAATTTTAAATTAAATCATAATTAATCAGATCAGATCAGATCTAACCAGATCAGATTAGATCAGATCAGACCAAATCAGATCAGAACTTATTAGAATCAGATCAGATCAGAAAAAATAAGTTGAACGGAACGGAGCCTAATTCGATTGAAAAACATTGTCCTTAAACGAATAAGGGTCAATTTATTCAAATAAAATAGTGCCTTTTAAGTTCCCAGATGAAATCATGACTTATTCGAATATACCAAAGGTTATTCGGTTAAAAGATCAACTTCTCCATAAAAAGACTGATCTAAAAGGTGTTTTGGAGGTAGGATTATCAAAGAATGAACCTTTGAGATGTCATACTATTTAACACACATTCTGAGACCTAAAAGACTACCCAGCAAAGGAAACAACATCTTCGGTCTCGATCATCCCACCGATGCTCAAGTCCCTTCTTCACGGACGGATATGAACTTGTTGTAGCTTTGATTCTGATACACAATATGATGGTGATATTTTGTCTCCTTTTTGTCATTATCAAAACCTTAAAGACAATAGGAAAAGGACATTGCAAATATATATTCATAATAGTACATTGTTCAACAGATATCGTACCGCTTTAATATAATAATCAAGACCCATGATAGGTTTTGGTAGCAACATGGAGCATGCCCACCCCGTGACCCCGAGACAATAATTATATTTTGTTTAGTGTTTCGATCATTCACTACAAACCCTCTTAACATAAAAATTAATGTTGTGTGCTAAATCTCTATGTTTAATAAACCATTTGAGAACTATATTTATATAGCCTGAATTAAAACTTTTCATCATGGACTAAGTTTACAACACATTATTAGCATGATAGTTTTTGCAAACCCTAATCTTTCAGGCTTTCTTCCTCTTCCACAGTTTCGGATCGTGGAAACAAATTGAAGCCTTGGACTTGGACGCATAAATTTAAACTTTTCATCGTGGACTGAGTTTACAACAATATTTAGTTTGTAATTATTATATTTTCTTGTATTATCGAGTTTAATTTCCATGGATAGATTTGGTAATCGTAATTGATGTATATTATATATTGAGACCATGTTACATGTATCAATGAGAAAGGCAAGCAATTACATTCCCAAATTCTACAAACATAACATAATATTTCAAAAATAGAAATATAATATAATACTATTCTTTACCTTTAGCATATCATATGTAATATAAATATAATACTATATATCCTTTACCTTTATATTCAATTTAATTACTTTATATTCAATTTAAGTAATCTACTTTTCTTTTGGATTTAATATGTTTTTACCAGGGGAAAACACTTTTATACTAGAGGCACACTTAAATTTTCTCAAATTTTTTAAATTAATACACTACATATTATATTGTAAAAATAAATAAAATTGACTAGTTAATGGGTGGATCCGCTAGTGATTGAATTATGATTTAAAATCTCTCAAAAAAAAAATCATTTCTGATTTCGAAATTTATCATTTCTCCCAAATTTGAAAATCCATGTCATATCATATTTCCAAAACTCATCAAACACGCCTCAAGTGCAATACTCTTTCCGTCCTAAAACTATCTTCTCAGTTACTATTCATGTAGCCAAACTTAAACCACTTTCTTTATCTATTTTCGTTAGTTATTTGATAAAATAATATAGTCTATAGTCTTGTCACCTCTTGTTTTGTAGAATTTTTGATGTAGTTTTTAAATATATGATTTTATTTTTTAGTTTTACACCTACAATCAAATAAATTGAATTGAAAATAAAATGAGTCAAGTTTCGTAAACACAAACGGGAAGCTAGTTTTAGGACGGAGGGAGTAGAAATTATTGTATAATCAACCAAATTTATGAGTATTGATGTGAATTTTACAACAACAAAAAGTGTAATACCGCATTTCTTGAGCCTAAATCTTTTTGTGCATTTCAATTTCAGATTAACATAGTAGATCCAAATTTTGTAATGCACGTTTGGACATTTTCTATTTTTCTATGGGAGGAAAACCAAAATAGCACTCTTAGAGCATTAAAATACTCTAAATAGCAGTGCTATATGTTTCATACATGTGATTCCAATTTTGTCCTTTAATTAAATAGTAAATGTTCATAACGCACCGCCAATAAATATGATTGTTTTGGGTAGTGTGGTTGTGCACTTGTAATTATGTAGTGGGCATAGTTTTTTTATATGTCAGTATTTAATGTGGCAGTGTACAATGGATATATGTTGTTATGTCTTACGGTAGTGTGTAAGTGTATTATTGTGTTCCTTAATTTCATGTTGGAGTGCAATGTCCATTGACTTATGTAGCAGTATTTTCATGTCTAAATTCTTTACCTTCAAAAAGTGTATAGTTCTATTTATGTATAAATTTCACACTATTTTCATGTATGAATTCCACACTGTCAAAAGTGTGTATGACTGTTTTCATGTATGAATTTTCACACTATCCAAAAATATATGACCGATTTCATTAATAATCAACTACACCAAAAGACACTGACCAAACATGGGCTTGGCTTTTTTTGGTCTTTGTTGATTTTCATTTATGTGGTACTGAAAAGAAATGGATAATGGAATGTATTATGTTGTAAATTTTAAGACTTTGTAAGCAGCATACAATACAACATTATGTAGAAATGTGCAACATAGCACACTGGCCATAACATAAGACATAACACATTGCTAAAAGGTACACCTAGATCACAAGCATTCCACACTACCAAAAAATCTTTGAGCTGACTCTTCATACTTTGTTTATTAAAGTTATTCAAGTTCTAGCCGTATTGGTGATTTTTTGTATTCACTTCCAATGGAAATTCAATGAATAATTTATTACATTGAGATTTTTAGATATAAATCCCATTTGACCAAAACACACTAGGCAAACATGGTCATATGACATTTTTAAAAAGTGTAGTTAGAAGTTGATTATTCCATAATGTCAAAAAAATAATAGCCCCTATTCAGTAACACATTTCCATAACGAACTCTTGAATTTTCAAACCCAATAGTCATAGAACGAAGCCATGGCTTTTGCACAATATGAAACTTAATTCATACAGTAATTCATAATATTATAACGCGCAATGAAAAGATCTTAGGTGGACGGAGGGAGTATAAATTATTAAACATGCGAGCCTTCTATTTTAATATTATTAAACACGATATATTATAAAAATTCCATAATATAATACGTCATATGCACAATTATTATTAATCATTACACATGTAAGCATTATTAATTATTAAGCACAATAAAACATGGAAACGTTCCAAGGATGAATAATAGTCGTTGATCAAGTTTCTGACGCTAATAGGCGGTTCACAATGTAGGTGCGTTTGGGCGGGAAAAATTTCCCATACTTTTAAATATACTAATGATAATGATATTAATATGCCCGCATGGGGTAGCTCAGTTGGTCAAGAGCGTGAAATCTTGGACCGATGACCAGGGATCGAATCCCGCAAGCGGCAGTGTGGGAGCTATCCAAAAATCCCATAAAAGGGTGAGGAGGCTCCTTGTGCGCGGTGGGCACGGGTCTAGCGTTCTTGGTCGACTGAGTCACCATGATTTACACCCTCCACCATTCTTGTCGGGCAAGGGGTTGGGGGCGCCTGGGGTGGGCGATTCCACCTTTTGGACCGATAATGATATTAATATTGATATTGATACCCGTGCATCACGTGATGATAAGGATGTGTTACCAAATGACCATGTTACACTTACACTAACAAATATACCTCATTTGTACACCACAGGTTTGCACAAACATTTTGATGGTTTACATCGACACAAGTGTTGGTGCGTTAATAAAAATTCACACGGACACAAATGTCGGTGCATTTAAAAAAAATTAGTTTTACACCAACACAAAAATCCGCTACCAAAAGATAAGTACGCTAAAACCCATGGTAAGTACGCTAGTCCCCAGAGACAGTTGTAGATCAAAATCGATGATAACGATGGGTTACGTTGGACTCAAAAGTTTGGGCATAGGGCTACCTTTCCAGTCGGCGGCAGGGCGATGGGGATGGGATCGCTATTACCATACAAATATCTGGTCGAGGTCTATTACGCACCATCTATTGGATGTCAAGAACACGCTAGACGACTGGGTTCAATTTCGGAAGGAGGTTCCTGCTGGCGACCTCAAGAGGATCCTGCGCACGCTTCGTAAGCGTGGCCATATCTCTCAAGCTCTAAAGGTACCTTAGAACTATTGATATTGCTATTATTTTTTTTTAATTTAAAAAAAAAAAAACTCCTTATAAGAATTTTTAGACATGAAGAAATTTGAAGGGTGTTATTCCCTCTCTCTCTCTATCATTATCACTGTCGTTATCATTACTTTGTAACATGATAAAAACTACTGAGTATTTGTTCTTCTAGAGCCAACTCTTATCTTCCAATATTTTGTGTAAGTCTTTTCAGTTTTTTCAACTTTTTGTTTCTTCTAACTTCTCTCAACACTGACTTAAAGAAATTAATTAGGTTTATTTTCATATAATATTATTATTATCTCAATAAAAATAATCGAGTTAATGCCAATTGTTTGGTTGATATAAATTTTAGTTACCATTTTAGAGTCATGTAAATTTATACGGAGTAATATCTTAAATTGATTAATTTATAAATTCATTTGATTTTGAAATTTTGGTTAACTATGTTTCTTTGAAATTTGTTCTAGTCAATGTTTCAAAATTTTAACCAAAATAATTGTGCACTCTATTTTCTTTCCTTAAGCATTATAAATGTGCATGTTCTAAGCATATGCAAAAAAATAAATGTCCATACATTAATTTAATATGCGAAGAAATAATTTTGGAAAATTAATATTGTTTATTTTTTAAATGTGCATCTGACAGATTTATATTAAAAACTATCTCTATTGCATAAAAGTTCTCTATTTGACTTTTATAAAACAAAAAAAGATAAAAAAAAAGTAAAAAAAATTGATTTAATATTTTTGAGACATGTGAAAAATGAAATATTGAAAGTTTTTACACGAATGAATTGGCACTATTATTTGTTTGATCGAGATGTCATTATATTATTTAAGTCCAGTTTTTCCTTCAACTAAAATTAATAAAAAGTATTGCTTCATTTGTCTTCTTATTTTTGTTACATGGATTAATGGCATACAACCGGAAAAAAAAATTATATGATTGATATTGATTTTGAAAAATAAAGAAAGGGTATCATTCATAAAAAATTACAAATACGATTTGGGATAAAACATAATGCCATAAAATAAAATAAAATATGACATTTATAAAATAAAATAATCATTTTAACATTTTTTTATTTTTTTAAACTCTTTCATAAATTTTCTAACTTTTTCCAATTTCTTTCAACTCTTTCTAGTTTTTTCAACACCTTCTATTTTCTTCCAACTCGTTTGAGTTTCTTCTACTTTTGTCAACTCCATTTATTTTTTTTTTTGAATTCTTTCCAGTTTCTTCCAATATCCAATTTTGTTTTTCCAACCGAAAAGAACAGAGCCTTGATTATGAAATTGTAGGAGATTACAATGTGGTCTAGATCTCGTGCCTTCCTCTCACGTGCCTTAGCTAGCCGAAAAAGTTTCTTATCACCGCCCTGTGCCTTTATGTCTTTATAAAGCATTCCAAAGCTGCATTATTTATCCTAGTAACTTCTAGCATAACTTATGGGTAAGTTTATATTCTGCCTGTAGAGCCGCTCTTTCATCCTCATTACAACAATCCATATACCTCGGATTCACCACCTTCTTGGCTTCCACCTTACTTCGAACCATATCCTTCCACCACCAGGCACCTTCATGCCTACTCCCACAACCAGCTTACACCCAACACTTCCTTGATGGCCTCCCTCATGCAGCTAGCAGTCTGCACCCACATGTCAGTGGCCTTCCCATAAGACTGCAATTTTCTTTCCACCCAAACTCCTCCACCAGATCTGTGTTGTGCTACATGTAGCTCTTTTTTGCTTCACCCACTCGATTTAATATTGATTTGTTTAAGAAAATGAAGTAAATCCAATCCCGGGTGTCCTAGACAACGATGCTAGAGATCTTGGGAAATAGCTGCAAAGGTAGAATCAATTAGGACTTGAGACGGTGGCAGAGAGGTGAGCAGATAGAGTGGTCTGATGCTATCACTTCTGATGATAGGTAGCCGTGTATGGAGGTCCTTCAGAAGAACCAAAGGGATCAAATTCAATTGGTATATTACTGTTCGTGGTCAATCGTCTGACAGAGAGTATGAAGGACAGCAACAGGGGGTCTTTGACATAAAGAAGCAAAGGGCTTTAATGTCCTACAACTAATGTTATTGTTTTGTTTAAGATAACAAAGTAAATCCAATCCCCGGTGTCCTAGACGATGCAGAGATCTTCGGAAATATTTGCAAAGGTAGATTGAGAAAGGACTTGAGACAGTGGCAGCTGAGCGGATAGAGTGGTCCAGTGCTATCACATCTGATGTTAAGTATCTGTGTATTCAGGTCCTTCACAAGAAAACCGAAGGGATCAAATTCAACAGATATCTTATTGTCAGTGGTTAATCATTTGATAGAAAGTATGAAGGGCAGCAACAGGGGGTGTTTGATTTGCCTTACGTGTCCCCTCAGAATGGGTTTGGAACGAGCTTCATAGAAATTGCGTAAGGGTACAGTTTGTTGATGGAGCCTGGTGACTCCATCGTACTCATTTTTGAGACCAGAGATAAGTTGTTTGACCAACTTGTGATTAGAGATTGGAGAGCAGATGTTGGCAAGTAGATCATATGGTACCTTGAAAGCTTTGCAGTAGGATGTGATGCTTGGATCTAGAGATTCTTTAAAAGAAATGTGCATCCAAACTTTAAAATTTAAATAACTTAAAAATTAATAATTGCATTTAATCTAGACATTATTACACGAATTAATAAAAAAAAATAACCTTTTTAGTTACAAATCCCAAACTTATTCATCGCGAATTCACATATTACAAATAGTAGCTGATAATTTTCTAAAATAATTAAATAAATACCAAGTCTTTAACTTGATAAAACAAAATAGAAGGAAGAGAATACATTGAGAATTTTTAAGGGAGCAAGATATAATTTGAATACTTGGATTATTAACTTAACAAAAAGAATTTGAAGAAAGAATGTTGCATTTGCCGTGTGGGCTTCACTAATTTCCCCAAAGAAGTTATTTACAAGCAAAGCAAAAAAAAACAATGTTGTAGAATAGACTTGAACCCAGACTTGCCATTCCACATATACGCTAACATCTAGGGAGCGTTAGCATCTTTGTTTCATTAAGCGGCACTGTCAATATTCTCCATATGTAAAAATGCTGAACACATATATTCCTACGTGCACGGAATTACATAAATGTATGTGGGGTTCCGGGATTCTGTTGTTCCCAACATTGGTCTGCCGCTGTGTGGATTGCTACACAATCTTTCTAATTCATTGGCCTGAGAAGAATATTAACAGCCCTTGTGGCTGTGTAGCCTAACAACAGGACCTTGTGATTCATCAAAGTTGCATTCAGACATTTTCAAGAACTGTTGATATCGTTGTTCTAGTTCAGGAGTGAATGTGTCTTCTCCAACGATGGTATGACAGCGATGTTAGAATAATTCACCCCTTTAACCCTACAGCATATCTTCTGGACCTCTTTTGCATTGCCAAATCATCTGGACTCTTAAACTCAGCTATTGGGTAGGTGAGAAGGGGGTCTGTCAACACGGTATTCTTTTGATGAAAAAGAGCGTTGAATAAACCTTTTCCTTTTTTCAAGCTTTGCAAGACATGATCTAATGTGGCCTACGAAAAGTCTGAATCCACACCCCACAAAACCCAAGACCTTCAGGGATGATAATCAAATTGTAGGCATTCATATGCTACTTCTTAATACAGACAAAGCATCCAGCTGTGTTGAAAGCTTAATAGAATTTGTAAGAACACTTATCTTCAGTTTTATACCTCACCCAGGATGAAAGTGACAGATTCTGAAGCAGCTTTTTTGAAGCAGATGCAATGCAAACCCACCGGATTGAATCCAGATTGAACCAAAATCAGACACATATTCTTCTTCCCCTTTCTGTAATCTGTGCTGCGTTGTTAGAATAGAAGATTTAAAGATGGTTGATCATTGAGTGGACTGTGAAAGTCATTGCTGTCGGTAATGAATATGTGGCTAACAGTACTTTCCTCTCTTCTAATCAAATTCTAACCATATATTTTTAAATTTTTAACACTTTTCTTAAATCGTGTGAAGTCAAAAGTGTCAACTGTTTATTTGGGAAGGAGAAAGAATAAAATTAGCATTCTTATGTCAAAGATCGAATGTTTTATCCAAATGTAAAATTGTCACATATTCTTCTGTATTAATAACGCCAAGAGAAGTGAACCATTCTGTAGTGTTTAATTTATTGGAAAGTTGTTTGAATCGTCTTTACTTCCGAATCTGACTACAGTTTCAAATCTGAATTGTTTTGCTTGGTCTTAGAAAGTCATTGCTGCCGGTAATGAATACGGGGCTCATGGCACCTCCCTATCTTCTAATCAAATTCTAAACATGCATTTTTAACTTTTAAACACTTTTCTTAAATCACGTGAAGTCAAAAGTGTCAATATCCTTCTGGGAAGGAGAAAGAATAAAATTAGCATACTTGTGTCAAAGATCGAATGTTTTGTCCAAATGTAAAATTGTCATATATTCTTCTGTATTAATAACGCAAGAGAAGTAAACCTTTCTGTAGTGTTTAATTTATTGGAAAATTGACTTCTTTTGTTTCTGGAATTCATGGCAATGGATTATTGTCATTCTTTTTATGTTGTGCCAAATGAAACAAGACTAACACTTTAAAGTGCATGTTAACCTTTGACATTCAGGTTTGAATCTAGTGTATCAAAAAGTGTTGTATATCCTAAAATTCAGTCTCACACCAAGTAATCCCTCAAGAGAAATGTTGGCTGAATACAAAGTATAAAATTGACAATGTGAATTGATTAAAGATATGTAAGGAAATGCAAAAAAAACAAATCATATTTTAGGATATTAAGGTTCTTGTGGTGTGATCTAGAGGCTTGGTCTCTCCCAAGCTGAGAAACCTAATTTTTTTAAAAAGGATTTGAAAAATAGAATCTAGCGTCAGTTAAGGGTTTCTCTATCATTACTATGGTATGGTTTTCAAAGTAGAGAGGAGGGGTTTTAATCAAAATTGCAGTTTCTGATTCAATAGAAAACTTTGAGATGCATTCTGTCATTCTTATAACATTTTACTTTTGCTGCTTTAATATTGTACCTGATGTAGGTTTTTGAATGGATGAGGAAGAAACGTATTTATAAATTCTCAGCCAGGGAGCATGCTCTTCAGATCAACTTGATTAGTAGAGTTCATGGATGTTCTGCCGCGGAGCGCTATGTCAGGAACTTGCCAGAACAAGCAAGAAATGACAAGACATATGGAGAACTCCTTCATTGTTATGTGCGTGAACACAAGACAGATAAGGCTTTATATCATTTTCAGAAGATGAAAGAGCTGGGTTTTGTGTTATCGCCTCGCCCTTTTAATGGAATCATGCATCTTTACGCCAAAAGTCTCCAAACTGATAAGGTCCTTGGGGTGTTAGCCGAGCTGAAGAAGAACAGCAAGGTTTCACCTGATAATGATAGTTACAGAATCTGCATTAGTTCATTTGGGTTAAAATATGATTTGGATGGGATGGAGAGAGTGTTGAAAGAAATGGAGACTCAACCCCACATTGTCATGGACTGGTGTACTTATGCCGTGGTAGCTGAGTTTTATGAAAGAGAATTCTTTGTAGATAAGGCCACCGATGCTCTTAAAAAGGCGAAGATGATATTACAAAAGAAGAATCATAGACGAAGCCACAATTTGATAAATAGTGATTATGAGAATGTGATAAAGTCACTTGTGAAGCTTGGCGAGTTAGATGAAGCTGTGAAGTTTCTCAAGGAGTGGGATTTACTTGGTAATTGGCACTGTGCGGATGATATTAGCATTCCGCACACAATCATTAGCGAGTACATCAAAAATGGTACATTACGAAAGGCATCTTATAGAATCAGTGTCTGGGACTTTAAGAGGAAGCCCGGCGTCGACAAACTTTCACGTTTACTTTGCAACGAATACCTTAGAGTGGGTGATTTGTTTAGAGCATATCACTACTTTCACTTGCAGGGTTATGGGGTTACTTCTCTAGCGGTTCAGAGGTCGTTTCTCCAATACCTAGAACAACGTGGATCATTTTTCTCTTTATGCTGCAGTGGATCAATGTGCACCAGATCACTTAAAAATGCTGCGGGCAGAACATTCTTAGAATTTGTTCCAATCAATGTGAAATACAAATTCAGAGTCATTTTACTGGTTCATCCGGAGAACTCAACCCTAGCAATAAATATAAATTATGAGAATATTATAAAGTCCCTGGTGGAGTCTGGGGAGTTAAATGAGGCGACGAAGATGGCGAAAGAGTGGGAAACATGTGGCAACTTCACTAGTCTCGATGGTTTAAACATCTCTATGTTGATCATTGAGGGATATTGTAAAAAGTCTTTGTTTATGGAAGCAGAGGCATTGGCTGAGGCTTGGACAAGAGAGAAAAAGTGTTGGGTTGGAGGGATTTGGTTGATACTTGCTTGTCATTACCAGGAACATGGTAAATTGGTTGGAGGATTGGAGTGGATGAGAAGATATTTTGATTTAACGCCGGGTCTCAAAGGGCAATACTGTTACATGTTTGAGATGTTTGTGCATATGATTAAATATTCAAGAGGCATGAGTGCAGCAGGGCACCTTGGGTGTTGCAAGGATTTGTTCTCTAGCTTGAATGATAAAATTTGTCCCCTACCAAAGAGAAGCGTTGGCGGGTCTAGTAAATGAGGACACGTGATGATACAGAAACCTAAAATAGTGTTTTTTTAATCTCAAAATAGTATTTTTTGTGTCTTGGTGTTTATTAACTTATTCTTGAAAAACAGTTCTTAAGAGGGTCGCCAACTAAATTGGATGGTCCAATTAAGGAGGGGGTGGGGTGGGGGGGGGGGGNACACTACTCGAGTACTTATGTTATATAGTTATTTTTTTAGTGCAAGAGAGTTATAATAAAGTAGTAAATGTATATGGTCACTTCTCTCCCCCCCTAAATCAAAGACACTTCTTTTTTACAACCCCATGCATATCATCACTCAAATTTCATGGTGCAAGGAATGACTAGATGACGTTCATTTATTTCTCGAGTAAATTCTATAATTGGTCTTTTATACAGGGGGTTTCCATATTTAATCCTCTATTATCAAATATTATCCCAGTGATCCTTCTTTTATGGATCCCTTTCCACAATTAATCCTTTTTTTGATCTTCTATCATGTTGGTGTTAATTTGAAGGCTAAAAGTGTAATTTTACAATGATAATATATCTTTTTTGTCATACACAATTCCAAAGGCTGTTCCGTTTGCGTTGTTTGTGAATTACAGTTGCTTTTTACAACAACGATAGTCTACAAATGTGATCTTTTGTCAGAATCTTAGCCCACAATAATAGTCATTATTTTTGTGTTATCCACTTAACCAATATCAGAACGCGTCATTAGACATAATGTTGATGTCAAATTATACTTTTAGCCTTTAACTTAACATCAACACGGTAGAAGATCAACAAAAGGACCATTTGTGGAAAGATATCCCTAAAAAAAGGACTACGGGAGTAATATTTGATAATAACGGACTAAATAAGGGAACCCTCATGTTATAAAGGATCAATTATGGAATTTACTCTTTATTTCTCTAAATATATTCCTTGGTTGAAAACCTTTGTCAAAGGCAACCCCAATCCTTATATAAACTCTTTATATTTCATACTACTCAAAAATCCTCCATCCTTAAAATGTGAAGAAGTTAGCAGTTGGATAAAAAGAAATACAATCTGGGCCGGCCATGTTTCGGGTCGAGATGCTATATTATAAAAGGTTTTAAAGTCTGAGCCCAACCTGACCCGTATAGCGTGCCTAGTGGCGGAGCCAGGGCCTAGTGCTCGAGGGGGCACTACACTAATAAAAGGTTTGAGGACAATGCTCCTAGTTTTTCTACAAATAACATGAAATTTCTAATTTACCATCTCCAAATTAAGTTATACTATTTGAAAACAAATATTACAAAATTTCAGTATCTCGATAATTTTTGTTTGTTTACTCATTCTGGTTAAGAATTTGATAAAATAAAATATTCTTGTCGCACCTTGTTTCGTAGAACTTTTGATATACTTTTGAACGGTTTATTATTATTTACTTTTTAATTTTCTACTAGTTTGTAAATAAGGAATTGTAAAAGAAATGGTATTTTTATCGTTCTTCAAAATGTTGTAAACAATTTTGGTATGTTAAAAATAATAGTAAAGAGATTTAGAGACTTACCAAATTGAAAAAGTTTAACATTTACATTTTTTTAAATTTTTTTGCACTTAAATTGAGCAAAATACGTAAAACAATAAATGAGTATTCAATAACAAATTAACAATATCTCAAAAAGCAAAAAAATTAATTATTTAAAGTATAAATTTAGTAAACTATGGAGTATACTTTTTAAAATTGAAGTAATGAGTAATTTCTATAAATAGTCCTTAATAATATATAGTTTCCCTTAGTTCGTAAGTCTGTATTTATCAAAACTAAAATGTGTGGTTGTTGGGGAATTGATGCGAGTCTCAACCTTTTTTCTAGATTCACACAACCAAACACTTGTACACACACACTCAATAATACAAAGACACTACTTTAGAAAATGACTTTGTATTATATAGAGAAAATGTATAAGAGAGATTACAATTACACGGGTAGCACACTTCACTCTTTGTATTAGGAACACCTCACTCACAAGCACAAGAAGCCTTCTTGGTTCTTCACTCTCTTCTTCCTCCACATTTCTTGCCAAATGAGGCATCCACACCCCTATTTATACTCCTCACCAAGCTAGGCTTCTCTAGAATGTTCCACAGATCTCTTTAACTCTATAATCTTTTAGAAAGTCTTCACATGCTTCCATAATGTTCTAGAAGATCTAGAGGACTCCACATAGTTCTAGAAAATTCTAGAGAACATTACATTCTTCCACACACTTCTAGAGACTTCCACACTTCTCTAGAAAGCTTTAGAATATTCTAGAAACTTTTAGACTATTTTACATATTTCTAGAGACTTTTACACTTCTCTAAAAAATTCCAGAATATAATATTCCAGAGAATTCTATACATCTCCACCAACTTATAGAATTCTCTAGAATCTTTCCTCTCACAAACCTTTGGAAATATTGAATTAATATCCTAACAATGGTCCCTATTTATTTGGTTCTTTTCCATAAGTGGTCCTCCCCACGTTGAGTCCCACGGGGTCCCGGGACCCCACGGACCTCCACGTAGGATCGTATATATTTTAGGTACTCTGATATTATTAGTATTATATATGTGTGTGTGTGTGTGTGTGTGTCTATATATATATATATATATATATATATATATATATATATATATATATATATATATATATATATATATATATATATATATATATATATATATATATATATATATATATATATATATATATATATATATATAAAACCCGAAAAGGAACCACCAAGATCGGTGGGGTAAGGTCCAGGCACCCTTACCAAATTTTATTGAAAGCGGGTGAAGAACACGTTCGGAGAGGACAAAACCAAAGCCCTGAAAGTAAAGAACAATACATAAAAGTAGGAGAAAAAAATGTATAAGAATAGTGCACGTTGCCCCCTCTATTCTAGCAAGCACGGAGTCCAATGTCCTCAAGTCCATTAGCTTTCATCATCCAAGGTCTTCTTGAGTGCATGTTTGCCCAATTTTGAGTCATGAACACAATGCTTCTACGGATTTGCATAAAAATGATCGCTTCTCCACCATACATGTGGGCAGAATAGGATTTCCAAATTGCCCAAAGAATAAAACCTGGTATGCAAGCTCGAAGAATCCCTTTCAAATTGTGCTTCGAGGAGGCCGGCCGGAGACCCACCATTGGAGAAGATATTGTCTTAGCGTTGTCCCTTCTCTCAACCTTGGTCCTTCTGTGTGGTGTGCATACCATTTCCAAATAGGCCTGATTTTTTCACATTGTAGAAGACTATGGTTCAGCGTGTCATTGTCATGCATGCAAAAAATGCACCTCGAAGGAATATTGAAGTTCATTTTGCGAAGGAATTCTGGAAAAGGGATGCAACCATTAAGTATTTTCCATTGAAACAAACAAATCTTTCCAGGTAGAAGCTTGTTCCATGTGTATCTAGCTGAGAAGAGAGTAGGAGATGAGCTCCGAACCAGGTTGTAGCTGTCCTTCATGCAGAAACTGGAGTTTAAGAAATAGTCTCTTACCTCCTCATCCAGGTATGTGTATGCCTTGCATATCCTTTTCCAGTTGGGTGAGTCGGGAAGATTAGCCTTGATATTAGCTCTATTGTTGATGTATTTAGCCTTCATGTATGAGGACCAGAGGTTGTCTATATTTGTGAATTTCCAAAGGAGTTTGAGGGACAAAGCTTGCTGGATTTCATTGAGATCCCGAACCCCCAGTCCACCCTCTTGAACCGGCCTGCAAATCTTGTCCCAGCTTCTCCAGTGTCGTTTAGGCTTTCCACCCCTGAATCCCCACAGAAAATTGCTCATTTTGGCGTGGAGGAAGTGAATCACTGATTTTGGAAGCTCGCTTATAGCCATATGGTGAAGAGGGATAGAAGAAAGGACGTGTTTGATGAGTATGAGTCTTCCCATCGGGTTGAGTACCTTGGAGTACCAAGCATTCAGAAGCTTATCAAAATGGTTGACGATAGGTTGGCAGTCCTCCTTACGCAGTTTGCCTTTAGTGATATTACCTCCAAGATATGTAAAGGGGAGTTTACCCTCCTGCATGTTAAGGGCCTGTTTTGCTATTTCTCTATGGGAAAGAGAAGCCTTGGAGCCCATAAAGAATCTTGATTTATTCCAGTTTATGTCCTGGCCAGAGACAGCACTATAATCTTTGAGGATAGACATAAAACGCAGGAGGTTACGGGGTTTGGCATTTAGGAAAACCACCAAGTCATCTGCGTAGCTGAGATGGGTAATGATAGGGCCTCTCCCGTGGTTAAACGGCTTGATATATTGGCTTTGTATAGAGTGGATGATGGATTTGCTTAAAGCCTCGCTGCCAATAATGAAAAGAATCGGAGAGAGTGGATCACCTTGTTTAACACCCCTTTTCATGTTGAAGAACCCTTTAGGTGCTCCATTGAATAAGATGGACATTTTAGTAGCCTTGAGGTTGGAAAGAAGAAGGTTTGAGACATCCTCATCAAAACCCATTTTTCTCAAAACAGCCTCCAAGAATGTCCAGCTCATTCTATCAAAAGCATTAGCCATATCAATCTTAATTATGATGTTACCACCTTCTACCTTACGATCAAGATGGTGAGCCATCTCTTGAGCCAAAAGAATCTGATCATCAACTGATTTCCCGTGCTGAAATCTGGCTTGCTCAGGCCCTATGACTTTGTTGATAACTGTGCTAAGCCTCGTGGCCAGAATACTGGAGTTAATCTTACTCATGAAAGTTGATAAGGAAATTGGCCTATAATCTTTCCATTTGATGGGGCTGTTTATCTAGGGAATTAAGGTGATAATGGTGCTAGCATAAGCAACTGGAACCTTAACTCCAATGAAGAACTCTTGACAAGCCTTAAGGAGATCAAGCTTAATAATATCCCAACAGGACCTGAAGAAAAAACCGTTGAAACCATCAGGGCCTGGAGCAGCATTTTTGTTCAGAGACCACACTGCTAGTTTCACTTCTTCCATAGAAGGAAGCATCTTTAAAGATAAATTGTCCTCGGCAGTAATTGTGCATGGGATGAATCTCAGAGTTTCCTCTGGAGCTTTAATTTACAAGGGATTTCCTCAAAAAGCTTGGTGAAATGCTCAACAGCCAAGGAGGCCATTTTGTTATCCTCTATGTGGTTACCTCCCTCCTCATCTTTTATAGCTGTGATCTTGAGTTTAGCTCTCTTACCCTTGACCACCAAGTGGAAAAACTTTGTTTTGGAATCTCCTTCCTTCATCCATTGGATGTTAGACTTTTGATACCAGTAACTAGCCTCCCTCTTGCAAGCAATAAGCAATTTGGCTGACGCCAAGTTAGCAGCAGCCAGCAGTACGGTTCTCATCAGTTGGGTTATCATCAAAAGATAATTGCTTAACAAGTGCCTCTTGTTCAGCTATTTTAACATTTTCGAAGATATCTCCAAATGTTAAAACATTCCACTCCTTAATAACTGATTTGAGACTCTTCAGTTTCTCGGCAAAGCCTGCCATACCGCCGTTCACGTTGCTGGATTTTTCCCAATGCATTTTAACCGGCCATGGGAATGAAGGTTTCATGAGATACCCAGAAGTTAAGAAATCTGAACATTTTGGGCCCTTTGTAGGAGCTCATAACACTTTTTAGAAGGATTGGTTTGTGATCCGAGCCACTCCTGCTGAGGTGGCGAAGAGAGATGTCGTCAAAGAAGTTCATGGCAAAAGTGTTCACAAGAGCCCTATCCAGTCTCCTCCAAACCTTGCCTAGTGATGTTTTTCCATGCCACGTAAAAATTCCACCCTTCGGTTGAATGTTATTGAGATCACAAGAAGCAATGCAAGAGGAGAATTCTTCCATTCCTTTAAAGCTAGGCAAGACAGGTCCCCTATGTTCATCAAGGCTGCAAATAATGTTAAAATCTCCTCCAACTACCCACGGAGTGTCTGTAGGTATATGGCTTTTCAAAGAGTTCCATTAAATAAATAAGTTAATTACTACGGAGTATTAAAGTTGTTCAATCACAATGTCTATTGATAGAATACATAAATATTTTACACGCATGTACATATGAAGATAATACATTAATTCTTTGTAAATAACTTTGTTAGATATTTTATTTTTTGGAGATATCGTGGTATATATGCAAGGGAAGGATGCATTCATTAATTTCCTCTATGACTCTTATTATTTTACACTTGGACTAATTAAATTTATAATTTTGATAGGAAAATGTATTTTAAATTTTTAAGGAAAAGTTTGAATTTTTTGTTTTACTCTGCCATTTTTGTGTATGAAACACTATGCATGTGTGAAAATAAAAAACATAAAATACATTTTATTCTACTATTTTCTAAAAAAATGAACTCCAAGAAAAAATAACAAATAAAATAGTGAACACAGATATATGTATGACTATTTAAGAATTATATTAACATTTTGTATATCTGTTAAAAGTTCAACTATTATACAAACATTATATGAATTAAAATTTAATTGTATATATTTTAATTTTTTAATAATAATATGGCATGCATTATAAGTTTTTTTTAGAAATTTGGATATGCATTATAAGTTTTGGAGTATTAGATAAGATATACTCCCTCCGTCCCAAATTATTTGCCACATTTGTATTTCCGAGGCAAAATATCAAGTTTTTTCAATTCATTTTATTTACATATTGGTAAAGAAATAAAAAATAAAATTTACATATAAAAAAACTACATGAAAAGTTCTTCGAAATAAGAGGTGTCAAGAATATTTTATTTTATCAAATAATCAATGAAAACGTCGGAATAAACAAAAGTTTCCGACACTGCTGAAAACGCAAATGTTGTGAATATTTAGGGACGGAGAGAGTATTTTTTTTGAAAAAAAATGTATTTTAACAATAATTCTCATGCTCTAAAATTTATATATAATAGTTTATAGGAAAAATTGATATAAATACTCCCAGAAATTTGAAATTTTACAATAATACTCCCAAATTTAATAAAAGAATCTGGTGCTCGTAATTAAACTATAAGTTTACATTATTACGCCCACTATGCCTAATCAGCTTTTCTTATGCTTATATGTAAGTAATTATGCTTAGTTGACATCTTAGTTGTTTTTTTTGTTTTAATAAGAGAAAAAATTATATAAATTCTCCTTGAAATTCAAAATTTTACAATAATACTCTCAAAACTAAATAAAGACTCCAGTACTCTAAAAATATCTTTCTTTTACGTGTTACAATGTTAAATAAAAGTGGTGTGAAATCAAAAAAATAAAATTTTATATCTAAAAACTACACCATAAGATCTATAAAACTAGTAATGATATAATTATATTATTTTATCAAATATCTAATTAAAATAGGTAAGCAAAGTAAATAAAATTTGATCTTATTAATACTCTTAATAGTGAATGAGAAGATAATTTTTGGACGAAAGAGGTATTTTTTATTAAAATATAAAAAAAACTAAGATGCCAATTAAGCTCAATTAATTAATCTTTAATATTACTAAAAAAATTATTTTTACATATTACTATATTAGTTTTTTATTATGTAATTTTTATTTTTTAATTTCACACCATTTTTCATATAAAATACTTTAAAAATAATTTCAGTCAAATATAGTAACATGCAACGAGAATATACTTTTGGGAGAACTGGAGTCTTTATTTGATTTTGGGAGTATTAATGTAAAATTTTGAATTTCTATGAGTATTTATATAATTTTTTCCTCTTATTAAAACAAAAAAAACAACTAAGATGTCAACTAAGCATAATTACTTACATGTAAGCATAAGAAAAGCTGATTAGGAATAATAGGAGTAGTAATGTAAACTTATAGTTTAATTGGGAGCATCAGAGTCTTTTATTAAATTTGGGAGTATTATTGTAAAATTTCAAATTTCTGGGAATATTTTATATCAATTTTTCCTTATTTTTTTTAAAGGTAATAAAAAGAAAAAAAGGGTGAAATACTAAATGTGCGCATATACATATATATACTTCATGTGTTTTAAGTACTAAATATAATACTTTTAATAGTAGATACAATAAATAAATAAATAAGAAATGGAATTTTTTAACTATTTCTTATGACATTGTTTTGAAATAAAAATCATAATTTTAATAATGATGTAAATGTATTATATTTCGTCTTAATCTATATTTTTAAAATGGAATAAAAAGGGAAAATGGTGTAAAAATTCATACAGAGTGTTGTCTTTTAAAAATTTAATAAAGTAGTAATTAAGTAATAAGACATTAAAATATATTTTAAAATGATGAAAGTCATATTCACATAACAATAAGAAGATGAAGAGTTTTATATATACAAATTCATTGTAATTAAATACAATAATCATGAATAGTTTTTTAATTCCATGTGGACCAATAAATGCCATGTGGACCAATAAAGTAATGACATTATGCCAAGTGGATAAAAAATGTGCCATGTCATATGCCACATGTCTTCACCATAACTAAAGAACCCTCTTTTACATAAGGATATATACTAGTATTTTGACCCGTGCGGCCGTGCCACGCACGGGACCGAACCCAATTTTTGTCAATTCAACGTTTTTTTCAACGTAATATATTTTTTAGATTCTAGTAAATATATTTCTAACATGATTTTTAATTAATGGACAATAATGACAAAGTAATATTAAATTGTATTTGAGGTATTGAAAGTGTACTCGATTTTTTTTAATTCTAAAATTACCTCTAATTACTTCACCAAATATAAGTTTTATTTTATGTTCTCCAAATGATTCAATTTCAATTTTATTATTCTAGATTCAATGTCAGGTGTGTATTCACGTTCACAGTTCGTTATTGTCATATATGTTTCTCTAGCCATTAAAGATTACATGTTATAGTAATAAATAAATGGGAGAAAGACCAAATTAGGACTAAAACATTGAAAATGTACCAAAATAGGACTTCCATGTTTTTATTCTTGAAATAGGACTTACATTACCAAACATGGTCATATACATTACCAAAAAAGTATAGTAATGTGCACATTGACACTGCCACATTACCACAGTGCAAAGTCTTATTTCGGGGAAAAAACATAAAAATCCTATTTTGGTACTTTTCTCTATGTTTTAGTCCTATTTAGGGTGATTTCTATAAATAAATCTGGATAACCAAATCTTCAACAAATAACCATTACATCTTGTTAGTTGTTAAACATGTATCTCATTCCTCGAATGATTGTAGATGATAGGATAATTTGTTGCCCAATGACTACCGATCCAGTATCATCTTTGATCACAGTACAGCTTCATGTAAGCCACTCATAATTGCTTCCTAACTTAACCATGGTTTAGCCTCACGCAATGGATTCTTTATAATTCAACCATCATGTGTGCATCAACAAAAAATTATAAATACAATCTTTGTGCAAGCGACACAACACCACCATCATTTTCTCTTTCTTGTATTTGAAATACAACAAATTCTCTCATTGATACTCTTTGGCGCTTTACATTTTTTTCACAAAAAATGGAGAAAGACCAAAGTAGGACAAAAACATTAAAAATATACCAAAATATGACTTCCATGTTTTTAATTCCGAAATAGGACTTACATTACCATACATGGTCATATACATTACCAAAAAATATAGTAATTTGCACATGTACACTGCTACATTACAACAGGGCAAAGTCACATTACCACAGTGCAAAGTCCTATTTCGAGAAAAAAAATATGAAAGTCCTATTTTTGTACTTTTCTCTATGTTTTTGTCCTATTTGGGGTGATTTCTACACAAAAATGATTCCCTTATAGGCAAATGATTCCCTTATAGGCATATTTTCTTGATATTCATCCTCCACAAAAGAAAACAACAAAAGATTATTGTAGAGGTATGAAAGCAGTGTGTGTATTGTGGAGATATTATAATTTCTTGAGCAACAACTTCATGTACTGTGGAGATATTACATTTAGATGATGTCTCTTTCTTCATTACATGAATCAGCATCTCTAACAATTAGAGCAACAACTTCATGTACTGTGGAGATATTATAATTTCTTGAGTCTCTAGTTCTACTTTCAACAGTGTCAATGATACATTAGAAGTAGGTTCATAATCCATGGTCTCTAATTCTTCTAAAAATATGTGTTAAAACATTATGCTCATCTATCATATTTTTCAAATCATCGACTACAGTTCTATCAATAGTCAAAAAAATTATTCTCCATACTGTATGAAACAAATAGAACAATTTATTTTTGTTAGTCTATTAATAATGTTTCATGAGTATTATATTGTCAAGCACATGTAAATAATACATACCTACTCCCTCCGTCCCGCTATATTCGTCCACTTTTGACTTTTGAAACTGTTAATCTAAGCACTTTGACTTATCAAATTCTCTCAATATGTAAGCCTAAATATAGTCATGTGTGAGCTTGTTTGATTTGTCTTAACATATAGATTATTAATATATAATTTCTATAATTTTTTAATATACAAATTACAAGATAAAATGGATTAAAGAAGTGTATTGGATGGTGTGTAAAAATGAAAGTGAACAAATACTCTGGGACGGAGGTAGTATATTAAAAGGGTGCATTTAATAAAGTGTTCGAGATACCTAAAATTAATCTGTTTGATATCTCATTCTGTGTATCATAAATATTGAATTGACTAAACTGTGCTCTTTCACCATCTTGTTACATTAAAGATGGTATGTGATGATGATTGTGCCCGCTAAGTGTAAATTGCTGCTCGACCGTTGTCGTGAGATGCATCAATATTTCCATCCATATGCGTGAACGAAAATATATTGTTGTATTTTCTTAAATTTTTCATGGTAATGAGAACTCCTCACACCAAGTCCATAAGAGTGGATCTAAGAGTTTCTTTAGAAGAGAAAGTTAATTGCATTTATTATTTAAAAGACCACACAACCACATCTTCTCTATATCAATATTCAAATGCATTTATAATCCAAAAGCCACTACCAAAAAATAAAGGTACTTACTATTAGTTTGATCACTCCCTACACTGCTCAGTTGAGAACTTTCCACTTGACCCTCCATGATAATAATTTTATCTAACTTGCAAATATAATTGAAGTCAGAATATCCATGTACCATTCCATCCTCTGAAATAATGTAATAGAAAGTAATATGTCAATTGTTTGGGTTAGTCTTAGTTTCCATGTCATAAAGTATGAAATCACATAAATTGAACATAATCTTGGGCATTATTCCAAAAGTCAAAGCCCATAGTTTTAAGCAGATGTATAAAAAGACAAACAACTCCTTCCTCTTCTTCATATCAGCATCTTACCTCATTTATAATCCAAATTCCACTGGAAAAAATCAAATTTCCTTACCATTAGTTTGATCACAACCAATAAATTTAGAGTATAATAAAAAGCCATAGTAATTGAGTAGAATAATAGGCAGAGATCAAATTTGAGTACCCAATTAAAAGACTTTCTCAAATTTCGTCTATGATTAGTTCAGGAATAAATTGATGGGTACTCAGGCTCACAAACGTACAAAATCTGAGTACCAAAGTAGGGGTGACAACACATCCAAAGATGATGAATTGAGTGAAGAAGTGTCTTAACATTGCTTATGTAAGATTACCCTCTTGGTTTTTCATTCTCAATTTGCAGAAACAACAAAGACATCATTTGAAGAAGGAAATTATATCACTCATGAGGTTTATCAAATCTTATTGATCTAGGAACTTTGTCGTAAACGACCTATTTTTATTTTCTGGCCAAAGTCATCAGTCTAAAAGAAAATGAAACTCATACAACATAAAACAAATCTAGGAAGAGAGGTAATGCATCTCAAACAAAAATATTATTATAAGGATGAAATCCAATCTAAGAAAGTATTATGAACTCAATTTGTGAAAAGTTTAAGTACAATGGCCTAAATTAACCTATACTAAGAGCTTTATATAGTAGAAACTCATTCATGAGCCTAAGGTTCCAAATTTTGAATATATGGAATGGTTTTTTAGCAAATCTTTTTTTACATATTAATCTTCCGAGAAGCTGCCCCATTACTTTAATTGGAAAAAAGGTGGAATAAACCTTCAATTTAAGCTTGGCTTATATGAATGTCATTCGCACTTGCGGACCAAGCTCAGCCGAAGTTAGCCATGGTCGTCACTTTCAGCCAGGGAAATCCCCTTCACGTCGTTCCAATCGCAATCAAGGAAATTAGAATAGAGAATCGGAATCCATGAAATTACTAATTGTATATTGGAAACAAACCTGATTCTAGAAATGACGCCGAAGAATAAGCGGATCTTGACGTTGTAGATCTCAAAATTGATGTGAAGAATCCGCGAAGAATCGGCGGATTTTGACTATCCTTCGCTGTGGGTGCAGATTTCCTTTCCTTTGGCGAAGATTATCGCGAAGAATCAGTGGATTTTTGGTGAAGGAGATTAGGCCGGAAGAAATCAGCGCACGCGCATAGAGAGGGGAAGAATCGGACTGTGGGAAGGTTTATGCGTTTTTGTTTCAGAAGAGGACGCGTGTAACCTTACGTGTAATTATATTAGAATACTCTTAAATTGCCACATGTCAAATTTCTACACCTCAAACTCTCAAATTTTATATTAAAGGATTCAATGAAATACATATTAAAACCCACTTGTATCTAAAACAAACAAACACTATTACCTCATTAGTGTGTTCAAACCAAAGAAAGTAATGGTAGAGCGGCCAATATTTTTTTTTGTTTCATGATCAAAGACATTAGACTAAGAACAACCTGAGTCATCTTTAAGCCCATCTCAAAGTGATACATGTAAAAATTACTATGTTGTCAAAAAGTTCTTTGCATAAAACTACAATATTCATATATTTATCTATTTATCAATAAATTGATTTGATAATTCATCTATTAAGAGTTATTAATAGCCTATATACCCCTCTTTTCAGTTCATTTCATTTTAACAACCCCATGTGTAAATAACGTTTTCAAAACTCTTAGGCTAAAATTTTGAAAATACTTTATGTCATAAAAAGTAGTTGAATAGTCATGTTATGTACCACTTGTATGTGCCAATGATATCTCTATTGCTACCTTCCTTTCTTGGATGGGCCACCAGATGGTTTTGTGGTCTTTCTCATTTCAAGTTTGAAGGTTGAAAGCTAACACGTGAAGGCTTGATGTTGCGATATTCATAGTGCATTTGCTGCCCACAATTTTTCATCGGCACGAAAGAAGGTTCTGTGAAAATTTAAACTCTATTGTCTATATTAATAACCTAAGAAAACTAAATAAGAACCCCAAATTGAAAAATCAGGATTCCTTAGGAAAATAAAGCGAGACTTTAGTTGGATCTTTGTGACCAATTGCATAGAGGCATCATTCTTTAAGGAAACCACAAAAACTAAAGGTTAGAATTTAGATGTAAGAACCCAAAAGGAGTGTAATCCAAATCTCTGCTTTTTTGTCTTCTCATTATATGATAAAGAAATTTTGTATAAGATTCATTCAACATTTCAGTTGGTTGAACATTCCTATCAAAGAGAAAAGGAAGAAAAATAATACTCCTACATAGATGCACAGTCCAGAGCCAAACGTATAAGTTAATGATTATCTCTAGGTTAATTTCGCATGGAACCCACACAGTATTTTATCACCTCTTAACATGATTTATGCAGCAGGAAGTTCCAATGTCTTCATATATGACAAAAGTAGCACTATCCAATGTTTAAATTACTCTAGTCTAAATTCGATACTTGTTTTAAAGTAAGATTTTAATCAAAGCTTATAGGAGTGGGACATTAGTTCTTTTTTTAAATACACCTTGGGATCAAAATTGGATGGAGTAGATAATATAAAGTATCATGCACATGTGCAGTATACTTTGAGTTATACGAAATTAGAATGATATTAGTCTATTATGATAAAATAGTGTAATCCAAATCTCTGTTTTTTTGTCTTCTCATTAACTGATAAAGAAATTTTGTATAAGATTCATTCAACATTTCAGTTGGTTAAACATTCCTATCAAAGAGAAGAGGAAAAAAAATAATAGTCCTACATAGATGCACAGTCCAGAGCCAAACGTATAAGTTAATGATTATCTCTAGGTTAATTTCCCATGGAACCCACACAGTATTTCATCACCTCTTAACATGATTTATGCAGCAGGAGCCAGGAAGTTCCAATGTCTTCACATATGACAAAAGTAGCACTATCCAATGTTTAAATTACTCTAGTCTAATTTCGATACTTGTTTTAAAGTAAGATTTTAATCAAAGCTTATAGGAGTGGGACATTAGTTCTTTTTTTAAATACACCTTGGGATCAAAATTGGATGGAGTAGATAATATAAAGTATCATGCACATCTGCATTATACTTTGAGTTATACGAAATTAGATTGATATTAGTCTATTATGATAAAATAATGCCTGATTTTTAATTATATTTGTGGCACGACATATGGCAGATAACTTGTCATTGAATATTAAAATAACCCAAAGCCCTGAGAAAGGTTGGGATCATAAACTCCCAATTGTAAAAATGGTTAATTACTTAATTGACACACTTGAAAAGTGTTTTTCCAGTTTTATTTATAAAACCTGACATATGTTAAATTATTTGTTTTGACCACTCATGTTTTACATTTTTATATGAAACCCAATTTGAAGAAACAACTCTTGCAAGACACACTGGGCATAACATATACGTACAGGATACACATGACTAAAAAAAGCGATCCTACTTCAATATAAAATTACGTCATAGGCACAACAAAAAAACCAACTTAATTAAACTTCCAATATGGGCATAGCATATACATATAAAGTATTATACGATGTAAAATGAGTTTTTTACTTACCTGTTAAACTCCAGAAGTAGTTTAATGTATACTTGAAACGCCATAGAGGTGTCAGTAGCGGGTAATGAGATTACTATGTAATTTCATGTTCACTTTTGAATTTTTGATGCGCTCAACACCACTGCAAATGAATAAAAGATATTGCTGTAATGAGGCGATATGATTAGACCAACATCATACTAAACTCATGCAATATACTAATATACTTTAATCTTAGCATAAAACATCTTTTTGGTGAGGTTTGTCATCAAAAGTAGGACCTAAATTTTTCGAGACACTATGGATGTGTCAGTAGCTAGCTTAATGCTTACTTGAGACACTATAAAGATGCTAGTAGCGCGGGTAATAAGCATAAAATCATGTGATAAGCATAAATCCAAACCTTATTTGGTTGAGGCGACATGGTTTGATCAGAAACCCCTGCGCAATATAAAATTATATTATATGCACACCAAAAAACCCAATTTACTTAAACTTCCAATACAGGCATAGATTATTTTTATAAAAGTATTATAACAGGGCATAACATACACGTACACGACACATGATTAAAAAAGCAACCAATACGCAATATAAAATTACATTATATGCACAACAAAAAACCTAACTTAAACTTCCAATACGGGCATAGATTATTTATATGAAAGTATTATAAGATGCAGAATGAGTTTTCAAATTACATGTTCATACATCAAGACGATCTCAATTGAATTCCTAGTCTTCTCATCACTAAATATGGGCAATGTATATAGCCTTACACTCACTGGTATGGTTGAGCTTCTACAAAGGATGAATAGTTTTGACCATGCAAAAAGGAAATGAAAGTACCGATCAAATGCTATTAAAATCCCAATACGGAATATGTGTTCCAATAAGAATATTTATAAACTAACAATTTAAAATAAATGAACAGTTTTCAATCTTGGAGAGATATGAATCATCCAAATTATGGAATTGCATGCTAATTTAGGGGAACAGAATTCATATAAATTTAGGAAAATGCAAATTTGGCATAGGTTAACATGAACATACGAATATAAAAAAATTAAATGAATCTGTTCATGATTTGCAGATTCTTTTTCTGACTGCCCAAGATTTACCAAATATAAATTCTAACAATTCGAGAAAAGTAAATTAAATAAAGATTACCAATTGAAAACTGATCGACGATTCAATGGAGACGATTGTTTTGCTTCTAATGGGAAGGATATGGCTCAGAATTGTAGAAAATAGGAAGAATCACAGAAACTCTTCCTTAGCCGGTTATTTTCTTCCGTAGCAGATTGTCTTCCTTTGAATCTCAAATGTTCTGAGATCTTCACCCTTCACGCGATGAGGAAGACACAATCAGGCGCAATTGGAGCCCGAAGAATTTTCACGATTTAGTCGAGAAATCAATTTCCTTTTGGCATTTCGCATCTCAATTAAATTGATGAGAGATTACCTTTCCTTTAGACTGGAGAGTTTCCTTCTGGGAAGAAGAGACTCAATTTACGGAGTAATTGTGATTTGGTGAACACTTTACTTTTATTTACGGAGTAATTGTGATTTGGTGAAGCTACTCATAAAATTGGACACGTGGCAAGTTTGTAAGAGTGCCAAATGGCAGTTTCTCAGGATATAAACTCTCAAATTTTATATTAAAGGATATACTACTCCTTCCGTCCCCCAGTTTTTGTCCACTTTTAACTTTTGGAACTGTTCATCAAAGTACTTTGACTCATCAAATTCTCTCAATGCGTAAGCCTAAATATAGTCAGGTGTGATCTTGTTTGATTTGTCTTAACATATAGATTATTAATATATAATTTCTATAATTTTTTAATATACAAATTACAAGATAAAATAGATTAAAGAAGTGCATTGGATGGTGTGTAAAAATGAAAGTGGACAAATACTCTGGGACGGAGGGAGTAGTATTTTGACCCGTACGATGCACGGGGTCAAACGAAATTTTTGTCGATTTTGATTCTTTTCAATGTAATTTTTTTCAGAATCAAGTAAATATATTTCTAACACAATTTTAAATTAATGGAAAACAATGACAAAATAGAATAAATAATATTTGAGAAATTGAAAGTGTACCCAAAAAAATCTTTTTTAATTCCAAATGTTTTGAAAGACTTTAGGATACGCAACATGTTTGGTATGGTTGTAAGAGTTTCCATTGTCATCTAGAACTAATATTTTTAATCGTGTCTTTGTCTTCACTCGTGAAACAGTAACATAAATCTAACTATGAATAAATACTGAATTGGTTAAAAATAATACAGCAAAAGACAATATTTAACCTCGACTTTTGTTAATAATTATAGCAAAACATGAGACTTGAGAATTGTATTCTCTAAAATTTCAGGGGTAGTCCTTAATGAGTCGGTACCAAATTCATTCAGGGTATGTAAACCTTTTTCCCAACTAGTTTCTCGAAACCGCAATTGCAGTGATAATATTCTTTCTGAGCTTATCAACGATTAATCTTCTACCATTACACAATCCAAATATTTGGTCAATGTTTTCAATGACATAATCGGTTCCCCTTTTAAAAAACTATTTTGTGTTTAGGATCTCTGAACATTTGATTTTATTAAAAAAACTAAAGCGTTATCCAATTGTTGGTAACGACTATATCTAAATTAGTTTTGCATGAAGAATCAGAACTTAACTACTCCTTTTTACCTTAAAAAATAAGTGATAGGACAAATTCGTTTACCTTTCAACAAATTCAAGCGTGGGTGTTAATAGTGCACTATCCTTAAAAAATGGCCAATTTTTCATGTTTTCTAATAGATTTGGATACGTGAAGTCCAATATACTATTGAGGTGATAATTTGTGTCAAGAATCAAAAATTCCAGTGGGATTTCAACGCCAGCTGTTGCATCGATTACTTGTCCAAGTTTTTCATCTAAGACTTATATTATCCAATCAGAAAAAGCTTGTGTGTCTCTATTTATGCAAGAGAGTGTAGATAATTGAAATCTCATATTCTTGGTTAATGTATAAATTTTACAGTACAATCTCATTGAATCAAATAAGATTCCATCGACCATGAATCTTATAATTTTTCAAAACAATTTGTGGGTGACTCATGATACTTGGACATACAACATTCTTAGCATACTATCAAATCCTAACTTAGCAACATTTTTTATACATTCAATAAATTCTTTATCATCAGCTAATAACATCAATGCTTCACATGCTTCCTCGAATGCAGTATGTAGAACATTGTTAACTCTCCTCAAGCTCTTATAACTTGTACGTACTCGTTGGAAAGTTAATAGTATTCTCAAGTAGTATAACTCTCTGGTTTGTGTAAGCACATATTGTAGCCTGCCATTGATGGTGTTTGTTGCATCGGAACCATTTATGCACTCTGTGGTTGTACACAAAACATTCTGGAAACTCTTTCCATACGTCAAATTTTATCCCGCATTATACAAATTTTAAAAAACAAAAATTCATATAAAAAGTCTAATAAAATCTTAATTGAATACGCCTCCTTAGTAAAGTTGGAATTGTTATGCATTACCGTTAAACATGTTGTTTTTGAAAGATCGAATTAAATTGGAATTCTTCTATATACTTTTACATTTTTATTAAAATGCATCCGCCTCTTATTTTGTTTTGTTTTTGTTACTGGAACAAAACAATATTGAGATTTTGAATGCACTATGGTATAATAACACCAAAGATAATTTATAATTTATTCACAAGAAATTACTAGAAGTAAAACATAGAAAAAGTATCAAAACGCAAACTTCATATTTTTATCCGCATTATACATATTGTATCTTTATAAATATTTTCTTCAACAACATCTTTAAGCTTTTCTTGATCTCTAAAGGTTACAAATTTCAGCCTCGGACATGGAAATTCAACCTCGAGTGTGTCCACCATATTAATTTATGTAGTATTTTTTTACATTGTTTATAATATCTTATACATATAATTATTTAATATAAAAAGATAATTGTTGTATTATCATCTTCAAAGAAATTAAAAACATGTGTTATAGAAGATAGATCAATTCTCTTGTGTCTCCTATACACTTGAAAGCGCAATGAAGTGTAGAATTATTCCTGGTTTGGAGCACTATATAGATAAGTTTTTGGGAAAAAATTACTGTAAAATTAAATATTTAATTCAGAATAATAAAAATACCACTTCTCACATCACATGCATTACATTCTTTCTCGGCAGGTTCGATGATGCGAGGTTATAGCCGATGACAACCTCTCTCCTTTTGTATCTTTAATAACCATCATAAAATAAATATTGTAAATATTTTATCTAAAAACTTTATACATAACAAAGTTCTATTATTGACTAATATTTGTTAAATTGTTGTCGACGGTCAGCAATAGGCATATTTTTATTTCCAAGAATTTTATTGAATAAATTACACTTATAACAATTAATATTATACCATGAATATCTTGATTAGGACCTCCAATTAATAATTAATTTCTAGATCAGATCAGATCCACTTAAGAGTTATTATTATTATTATTATTATTATTATTGTTATTATTAAAAATGAAAAAGAATATATTTTAGAAACAAGCTAAATAGAAAACTGAGGAACTAATCCTTAATTATTGGACGTCGGAAAAATTATTTTTAAAATACATTGAATATGTCAATCTAATTCTACTTTTAAAATACATTTTTATTGCTACCTGTAATTTGAATTTCTAAAGATTTGATCTTTTACTATATCGAGTTGATCAACTTTGATCATGACTTATATTAAATTAACACTTGATATTCATATACGGAGTATATTTTAGTGTAACTGAAATAACTATTATATATATATTGTTATATTAATCATAAATAAAGTTTTGTAGTACAAAGCACAGGTTGATATTTTATAATGATGAGATATTTAAAAAAAATACTATCTCTTCTTTATATTGATTATCTAAATTTAATTATTTTTTAATGTAAATATAAATAAAATATTTATTTTAATGTATATATGAACTAATTATTAAAATATTAAATCAATATTATTATTTCATAAAAAAATAATCATAAAATAAAAAATATTATTACATTATAATATCAGACCAGATCAGATCAGGTCCAATACCAAACCAGATCAGGTCAGTTCCAATCATATCTTGTCAGATCAGATCAGATTTAATCAGATCGGATCAGATAAGATCACATCCAATCAGATCAGAACTACAAAAAATCAGATCAGATCAGAAAAATAAGTTGAACGGAATGGAGCCAAGTCTTCATCATTTTAAAAAAATTATTAATAGTAAATAGTAATTTTGTGGCATGCATCTATACATTTTTACAAAGTTAGTAATATAAAATACTAATTTAAAAATGAAAAATACTAATTTTAAAATGGAACATACTTGTTATTTGACTTAGAATTTTTTTGATATATGTGGAATAAGATTATTGCTCTATTAAATAAATATGCCCATAAAAATCCCCTTTCTTTTATATATTTATTTTTCTTTTTTCAAAGTTGAAAAATCTCTCCAATCAGTATTTATTCAAAGTAAAAACAAATATTCACATATAATTTCTTTTAGTCCTACCAATCTAGCTATCCTTCCTTAGAATAAATTTATTTGTTTTGAATGAGTTCTTTTTTTCAATTTTAAAGTATATTATTTAATTTAAATATTTTCCAACAATGAATTAAGATATAAAAATTTGTAAACGCAACTATGCTGAGAAGTTTGCATGTGTGTAACAAATACGAAATTTGGTTTCCATAGAATAAGTTTTTTTCTTAACTAATGTTTTAATAATATAATTTGATGACATGACGTGCTGACATGTCAAAAAATGTCCAATAAGTGCGCCACATATCACAATGAAGAATTATGATTTTCCTTAAACAATAAAGTGGGAGTACATGGGTTTATATATACAACCTTTTCCTAATCCTAATCATGGTAAGATTCTACAATAGGAAACAATATTTGTACATTTAATATAGAATATATATTTAACATAAATATAGAATATATTTAACATGCTCCCAGCTACGTCAGCGTCGGAGGTGGGCGAATCCCGAGGCTTGTCCGAAAATCTTGAAATAATATGGATGGGAGGCCTTTTGTGAATATGTCGGCGTACTGTGACGAGGATGGCACATGAAGGACTCTAATCTGGCCAAGGGCTACCTTGTACGAACAAAGTGAATGTCAACTTCAATATGCTTGGTGCGCTGATGCTGGACCGGATTGGTGGAGAGGTAAACAGCACTGACGTTGTCGCAGAAGATGAGTGTGGCGCGTCGTAGGGGCTGTTGTACCTCTAGGAGAAGATTTCAGATCCACCTGGTTTCGGTAACGGCATTCGCAACGGCTCGGTATTCAGCTTCAGCACTAGATCGGGAAATGGTAGCCTGGCGTTTGGAGGACCAAGAGATGAGATTGTCCCCAAGGAATACACAGTAGCCTGATGTGGATCGCCTAGTATCAGGGCACCCAGCCCAATCAGCATCAGAATAGGCCTGGAGAGAATCTGTGCTAGAGGGAAATAGAGTCATATCGTAAGTGGAGGTGCCACGGAGATAGCGTAGGACACGCTTCATGGCCGTGACGTGGGCATCTCGGGGGGCGTGTAGATGGAGACAAAGCTGCAAAACAGAGTAGGAGATGTCTGGCCTCGTGAATGTGAGATACTGGAGTGCTCCAACTATGGAGCGATAGAGAGCTGGGTCGGCCGCCAGCGAGCCTGATGTGCCAGACAGTTTGGCCTTCGTATCGACTAGAGTGGAGATGGGACGACAAGTGGTCATGCCGGCTTGCTCTAGGATGTCGTGCGTGAACTGTGTCTGATGTAAAAAGAGACCACGAGCTGTCCGATGAACATTGATACCCAAGAAAAAATGAAGGTCGCCCATGACAGTCATAGCAAATTCCCCCTTAAGTCGCTCAGTCAGGTGCTTAAGGAGAGAGTCAGAGGAAGCTGTGAGGACGATGTCATCCACATAAAGGAGTAGGTAGGGAGTGTCTGTCCCATGAGAGTAGATGAAGATAGAGGTGTCTGACTTACATCCTTGAAAACCCAGCGTGGAGATGAACCCAGCAAATCGTTGGTACCACGAACGGGGTGCCTGTTTCAATCCATAGAGAGCCTTCTTCAGCCTGCATACATGGTTGGGCCTGTGGGAATCCTGGAATCCTGATGGCTGAGAGGCGTAGACTACTTCCTGCAAATGGCCATGGAGAAAAGCATTTTTGACGTCCAACTGATGAATCGGCCATCCTCGAGAGAGAGCAAGGTTGAGAATGATGCGTATAGTAGCTGGCTTGATCACCGGGCTAAATGTCTCATCATAGTCGACTCCGAATCTCTGGTTGAAGCCACGAACAACCCATCGGGCTTTGTACCTGGTTAACTCACCTGTAGGACCAAGTTTGTGCCTAAAAAGCCATTTCCCGGTTATGATATTTTGGTGGGGGAGGGGAGGTACTAATTCCCAAGTATTGTTCTTAATCAATGCATTAAATTCTTCACACATGGTATTGTTCCAATTGGGATCTTTAAGAGCACTACGGTAGGTGAGAGGCAGGGGGGAAATAGGTACAGTGGTGTTGAGATTGAGAATATGTTTGGGACAGGTTATGCCATTTTGGAACGCGTGACCATGGGATGTTGGTTTGTGGTGATGGGTGGAGG